TATAAAGCGTTATTCCCCGACCTTAACGTGTCAGGAGAGAAGTATCCAACTATTTGTTTTGGTTTCTTGAAAAATGGGACAAGAATTTTTCTCAGCGGTTCAAACAAAATCATCAATCCTTCATCAAAACAGTTTAAAGGTCGTCAAATATAAAGTGTTAACGCTGGTGTGGCTTTGAAATCATACTTTTATTTGAATGTTTCTCACCATTGAAAGCTCAGCTTCTCCTTCAGTGAATTATCAATGTTAAATCTCTAGGGGGACCAGTGGCCTAGTGGTTAATACGACCGCCCCATGTAGAGAGGCCACAGTCCAGGCTCAAATCTGATCTGTGGCTCTTTTCCTGCATGTTATTCCTCACTTTCTCTCTCCCAATTTCCTACTCTATCCTCTGTACTGTCTCTAAAATAAAGACACAAAAAGCCCCAAAATAAACTTTAAAAAAAATCTGTTAAGGTCTTTTGCACTTTTTGACTCCGGATTCAGTTTTTTCAGACGTTAAGAAAAGAAGAGGAGTTAACAACTTGTAATCAAGCGGCAACCTCCGGGGGTTAAAAAATGAAGCCAATTCTGAAGTTCAAAATCCTGCAGTTTTCAAGTTTATAATTTATCTTTCAAACATTTTAATCATTAAATCTGCAAAAATCATGTCAGTGAGATTTTTGATCCTTTCATTTATCCCTCTATCAGTTTATTTCGATGCAGAAACACGCAGGACAATCTGCTTCACCTCCAATTACAGAATAAGGATTTCAGTCTTCCTCTTTCTCTTTTAATTTCCCTGCCCTCGCACCGGAAGCTTAAATGTTTAAATCTATAATAATAAGATCTTGTCCACATTTTGCATCATGTTAAGGAAACACGAGTTTGTCTTCAGTAAGGCCGCTCTCTTTACAAACAGGTCAGGCTCCATTAACCGAGCACACTGCCGAGTCAGAGCAGGTCAAAACAGCCAATGGCGCCACCACGCACACACACACACACACACACACACACACACACACACACACACACACACACACACACACACACACACACACACACACACACACACTCTCGATTGCTCAATTAGCCCTCCTTCAGCTCGGGCCTCTCTGAACCCTGCAGCTACGCTTATAAGTCATTACACTCAGGGTCAAGTGTGATCCCTGCGCTTATCTGCATCAACAACTGGCAAGTGCAGCAGGCGTTCTCAGATACACACACACACACACACACACACACTCTCTCTCTCTCTCACTCACACACACACACTCTCTCGCTCTCTTTCTCTCTCTCTCACACACACACACACTCTCTCTCTCTCTCTCTCTCTCTCTCTCTCTCTCACACACACACACACTCTTTCTCTCTCTCACACACACACGCACTCTCTCTCTCTCTCTCTATCTCTCACACACACACACACACACACACACACACACACACACACACACACACACACAGAGACTTAAACTGCTCAGCCCTCTGGTGAGCGTCGTTGAGGGTAATAAAAAGTGATTTACGGAGCAGTGTGATTAAAGAAGCGATGCTGCCCTCGTGTGCTCTGTGATTTGTAATTACACGTTCAGTTCAAAGATTTTATTTGTGGCTGATCGGTAAATCCCGACATAACTCACCCTCCACATCTCACAGACGATCAAACACTCGTTTATTTTACAGCGTGAACTCTAATCTGCCCCGAGCCGATCTTTAAACATCTCATTTGTTCAGCGGCTGAATATGATGCGATTGAAAGTTTGGCAGTTTATTTATGGTAATAAAAAAAGAGGCAGCTCTCTCTTAAATAAAATGGTCTTTCTCTGTAGGGATCTTTTCTGGAAATCTGGGGGTAGTCGTGGACTCAGACCTGAATTTTAAAAGCCACATTAAGACAATTAGCCTACCATCATCTGAAGAACTTAGGCCGGGTTAACCATTAGGGCAACCGGGCGATTTCCCAGGGGCCCGAGATCTGTAGAGGCCCCAGGGCAGTAAGTGCATAGGCAAAAAAATCAAGTTATGTCTCGCTCTTCTTTAGCCTCTCCGCTGGTGACAGAGCAATTTTTTCACACAGTACCACTGCAAACCCCTTCTCTGATTCTGTGGCTATAGTGTTGGTAAATTTGATGGGCAGCAGATTTCTGGAGGAGCACATTTGAAAGTTGTTGTGTTCATCTGGCCCTGTGAAGAACATATCAAGACTTAGATGACTTGTGTCCCAGCAGGATCTGGAAAAACTCATCCATGCATTTATCCTCAGAACAGAAGCCTTGAGCTATAGAGAAATAAAAAAAACTGGGGAAAAAAAGTAGAAGAATAGTAAGCTTTGGGACACTGGCCCGAGACGAAGACGACAAACTCTGGTTGGAGGGCCCCAAAATATTTTTTTCCCAAGGGCCCCCATAGACTTTAGACTCACCACTGCCTCTGAGGTGGTCTGGGACAGGTCTACTTTCTGTCCCAAGAGTCAGACCCAAACACGGAGAAGCAGCGCCTCTACACTCTGTATATCTGAACAAACTCCCAGAAAACTGCAGGTGTGCTGAAACTCTCAGTTCTTCTCACCTGTTTACAGCTGCCTTTGATTAAAGTTAGTACACTCTTTTTAACTGATTTTCAATCGTTTTTAATAATAACTTTAAAACACCTTCATTTGAATGTCTCTTTTTATGTCTTGAGTGAAGCACTTTGAATCACCTTGTTGCTGAAATATACGACATAAATAAGTTTGCCTGTCCTTGCTTATTGTTATCAGACCCTTAAAACAACAATCTGAGCCTATCAGTGACCACAACAACAACCTTTAGAAAACATGCATGTTCCCTCAAATGATGATGTTGCAGAGATCACAACAGGTTTGGTGGCTGCAGAACGAATCAAACTATTTATACCTAAATGTTACTTAAATTCCAAAATATGTAAAATACTGGAAACCCCCTCAAAGTCAGATCCCCCTCGTGTACAGACTTCATCTCTGAGTTCTGCTGTGGTGTTAAAACAACTGAGTCTCCCAGCTCCTATTAGAATATAACAGTTTGAGTATTTAACGGTGAGAGGTTTTTTTTTTTTGTCTTTATCTGAGCGGCATCACAGAGCGTCTCGTCTCCTCTGCTCGCTCTGAAAATGAGTCCGGGATGTGCGGTGGGCCGGGGAGGAAACTCCCTCCACCACAGCCCTGCTATCTCTGTGGGAGTTCATTATACACACAGACCGGCCACACACACACACACACACACACACACACACACACACAAATAAATGCACAGACAAACACACACTCATACACACACACACACACACATACACACACAAACACATGCTCATTCACAAGCACATATTATTTTATACAGTATGCTCACATGCAATTTCTATTATGGGGGATTATTACACACACACACACACAATGGTGGGCAGATGTCTGCAGTCACCACACTTTAAACCAACCAGTATGAATTTGTTCCTGTGGACATCCCCTGCCCCACCCAGGCAGACAAACCCCCACCCACAGACCTCCACCCACAAGGTGTGGGGTGTATGTATGTGTGTTTATGTATGTATGTGTGTGTGTGTGAGAGAGACACTTAACCACTTGTGTTACAGTTAAATAGACAGAGGAGTAAAGCCACAGAGGGGTCAAAGGGTCAGGACGTGTTCAGCTCTCACACACCTTCAGTTGGGGGCATGAAGTGCTCCCTTCCTGACCTTTATAGCTGCGTATATTTACACCGATAAGCAGAACACTTTGTCTTCTAGCTGCTCTCTAATTTGGTCCTAATAATACTTTTACCACAGGGGACCCATTTTCTATCATTAGTGAACTGATGACCCCGACTAAGTGAACTATCTATCTATGAAATATCTGCAGGTTTGGATGAATTTGGAGTAAATTATTTCAACAGGCCAAAACTCGAGGATTCAAAACTCTATGAATAAATGGTGACAATGTAGTGGCTGTCAACTTCTTATATACACTCTATGGTACAATGACCTTTAACCAGGGCTCTTTAGCGTTATGATTTAATGTCAATTATGTGTTAAAGGCGACATATTATCCTCCTCTTTAATCAGTTTAAAGACGTTTCAGAGCTCCCCAAAACATGTGTGTGAAGTTTCTTGTTCTAAATCCACTCTGATCCTGTATTTAATCATCCCTATAAACCCCTCTATTTCAGCCCTGCCCAGAACAGGCTGTTTCTGTGTCTGTACCTTTAAATATGTAAATGAGCTGTCTGACTACGCCCCCTCTCTGGAAGGGCTTGGGTGTCTCTGGCTTTCTCGTTCCATGTCCTATTGTTTACGGTGAGAAGGCAGACTCAGAGGGCAGAACAAACACCTAGCTGTGGGAGTGTCACCCACCTGGGGGAGGGGTTACTGCCCTTTGTGATGTCATGAAGGGAAAATCTCCAAATGGCCTGTTTGAGCACAAATTTTATGAAAAGTGGAGCAGGCAGAAGACGGAGAGGATGGACTTTTCTCATCATTTGGGGGTTTGTAGACAGACTAAGGGTACGTGTTAATGGTTTGTTTTAGTGATTTTTTTCATTTAATATTTTAATGTTTCTTTTTCCCTCTCTCGTGTGTGAAGCACTTTGGATCGCCTTGTTGCTGAAATGTGCGATATAAATCAACATGTCTTTCCTTAACTATTGAAAGCCGAGTGTAAAATCTGATTTATTAAAGTAATATAATTCATCATAATTAATACTATACTTACAAAATAGTTTTAAAAATTAGGGAAAAGCTTCCTCTAGGATGACTACGGGTCTGTACTGCATGTGAAGAATGTTCTCTGGAGGGGCATTAAAAGTTAAAATGATATAGGGAAAGTAGAGGCCTCATTTGTGTTCATTAGAACTCTGCTGTTCTACCTGAGAGGCTAAACTCAGGGTGAAGCCCTCGCACTGCTTCTTTGGGGAAACTCTTTGCAGCGCTTTAACTCCTTTCAGGTGTTTTTATTTGCCTTACACTAAACTCTGGCAACCTCTGCTGGTGAATTTTGTGTATGACATCTGATCAGACTTTGTAGAAATCTTTATTTATATTGTCAGTCAAAAGTACATTATCCCCCTAAACACCCGGTAAAAACGGCCAAATATTTCACATTTAAGGCCGAGAGGACTCGCTCGTAAAATTCTGGAGGCAGCTTTGCATTTGACAGTAAAAACAGAGAGGAGGACATTTTAAAATCACGTTTATAAACCAACCAGAGGATGATAGTTCTGGTCAGGAGTCCCTTTGAGTCAGAGGAGTTCAGCCCAAACAGGGAGAGAGAATCGGAGGAGGAGGAGGATGTGCAAACCCGCCCTTGTTTCTCCAAAATAATGAAACGTCACCGTTTTATTCAAGAGGTCAACTCTCGTCACAGTGAACAAAAAGGGGAAATTATGAAGCAACAGAGACCGTTCTGTCGGCACAAACAGACAAGTCAGAGGGAACAGAAATTAGGAAAACTGAAACACAACAAACTGATGAGCTTTGTTCTTCCCTATTTACAAAATAAACCATTTCAGGCGGGGCTGTTACATTCATCAAATAAGTAGAACCGAAAAGGAGAAACGTCTGTTCTTTCTTCTGGCGCAGGTTTAAAGGTTTGTCAAGAACTTCTTCTTCTGTCGTCAGCAGCTCGTTCTTCAGCATACGTAGTGACTGAGTCAGAGTGTCCTCTTCACTCAGAAGGAAAATGAATTTTAGCTTTTCAAAATAAAAGAAAGGCTGTGTTACTAAATAATGAGGGGACACAGAGAGTTCAACAAAACATGGCATCATTTCCATTTGTACACGTCTGCATTAAATGTGCCGCTGCTGTTGGCCTGCAGAACATTAAAACGTAAAAGCTGAAGTGGGTTCGAGCCATCCTGAGAACAATCTGAAAATAATAAATACACCCTGGCCCTCCTGCTGAGCGATGAATCAGATAACTTAGTCCAGGCTGTGTCTGCTGCTGTGTCAGTATCCTTGTAGTCCATTGTAAACTTTCTGTACAGATCCCTGCTTCAGGAGGCTCCGAATACCTGCAACGACAACATGACTGTTAATAACTTCAACTTCTAACAGCTTTATACTGATTTAAACATGTTTACCAAATACAACTGATGATGCAGCATCTTAAAGGAGCAATATGCAACTCTGACCCCTAGTGTTTAAAATGGTTACTGCAGTCCAAATTCTAAACTTTGTAGAGAGCTGTCTCCCCCCGCTCCCTCCATGTGGTGGACACTGAAGCCACGTGGTGGCCATGTGGTGGACACTGAAGCTTCAGTTTAGCCAGCTCTGCATCGGTCTGTAAACCTTTCTGTGTTCTAACCTCTCTCCATTTTTCAAAAGCATCTCCAATATTGATCCTAGTTTGAGCACATTTCTGCTCGTGGAGCTTATTAGAAACATGCAGAGGCTTTTTAGGTCGGGTACAATCACTTCTATCTGAACCAGTTCTCTTGCCCGCTTCCATCGCTGCAACACCTGTTGGTTTGACCTGATAACTGCTCTCATATCTGGCAAGGGGCGTCCAAAACGACCATGTGGGGGTGCCTTAAAACCGCCTACCTTCTCTGGCTTCTCAGCACTGTTGCTTTAAAATGTAACCTGCATGGTCATTTGATCGCATCAGGACAGATGTCCCTGCTCACCCTCTTTCTGCTGCTCGTCCAGCTGCGTCTGAGGAAACTCCACGTCAAAGGTGATGATGAGGGAACCTCTGATGTTGATGTTGTCGAAGTTTGGCAGACCTTCTCCTTTCTTCCACATCCGAGCGCCGGGTTTGGTGACCTTATCTCTCTCTATGTGAACCTTTGAGTCAGAGGCAGACGTTCAGTTTACACCGCTTCTCTTTGATTTTAAATAGGATGATTTTAAATACACTTTTCATAGTCTGCGCTCAGAAAAAATTTGTGGCACCTTATGTCCGTCCAAATGTACGATCTCCATCTTGAATCCGACCAGCGCCTCCACCAGGGAGATGGTGACGTTGGTGTAAAGGTCGTCTCCTCTGCGCTCAAACACTGGATGTCTGAAATAACAAAAACATGTCTCAAGTCACATAACCGCTCGTCACTCATGTAATACTTTGTTACAAAGTGCAGACACATAGAGAGAAAAGAGATTCATACTTTAACACTTTGATTCTGAATCGTAGATCTCCAGGTTCTCCATCGATGTGAGGCTCACCTGCGGTCACAGATACAGATGTTAACAGCAGGTGACATTTAAAGGACACGTTATTATTTATCTTATGACAAACTTACCTTCTCCAATGAAAGGGTACTCCATCTCATCTCTCACTCCCTGCTCGATTTCTACCTCCAGGGTTCTCTCTTCATTAACCAGCCTGTAGGAAAGCAAACATGTGTCAGGTGTCAGTGTATGAGGAACACCTAGCTCAGGGCCGTTAAAAACAGAACTGCAGTCAAAAGCCTCCCTTTTGAAGTTCAGGTGTCGTTAAAAAAAATTTGTGTGGCATCTCTGAGCGCTCAAGTTGAACATTTTTCAACTTTTCAAAAAGGCGCTGTTGACGTCACTGGCGCTCTTTTCCAAATTTATGATACTCCCCGTAATTTTGCCGCCTACAGATCGTGTCTTTTACCCTCATCCTCCTCGCTCCGTGTCTGATCGGGATCTAATCTCTGATCGTGTCTGATCGGAAATAGACGATCTCAAATAAAAATAAATGCAGTAAAAAGTAACAGAGCAGTGTCGGTCATACAGCTGCCGTTGTCAACAGACTGTTGTCATAGAGACAGGACGGACGTGCAGCCCTTTTCTTCTCAGCACAAACGCTTCATGCCAGCAAAAAACGCTAGGTAGAGACAGGGCCTGAAGCATGGCACATGACATCTGTAGACTGTGTTGTGATCCGTTTTTTTTTTTTATTGCACAGACGTTTGAGTGCAGGGATGAGAGTGTTTCTTGTTTTGTAATTTCTGGCCCTGATAAAGAGTTTTATGAAGAGCAGCGACTTACTTCACATTTGGACACTCGTCACAGACCATCTCCTGAGTCATTTGAAAGCGTCCAGGTCCGAGCTGCGTCGTCCTCATCTCCTGCCTGCAGTTACACTTCCTCTTTCCGGGAGCTTCTCTGGCTATGGGCTTGTTACGAACGACCTGAGGGACAAAAATATTCAAGAAAATATGTTTTCTCAACTTCCATAATATGACAGAGTTTAAGTTAGAAACCATCTTCAACTAGTGCAGGATTTTAAGTCAGAGAAGAATGCTTTCTCCTCACCTCCACAAAGTTCCCAGAGTACACCTCTTCAAGCGTGACCTCCAGGTCAAGTATGATGTCATTTCCTCTGGGGATGTTCCTGTCCTGCTGCTGTCTGTTTCCTCCAAACATGAACCCAAAGTCTCCAAAGAAGCTGCAGAGAGAGGGCAGCGTGAGAGACATAGGAGCCTCAGAGGATTCTTTTTTTTAAAGTTCAAACACATCTTATTTGAACTGCGATCAGATTCAGCGTCATTCTCCCTCTGTGCAGAAACTTACAAAAAGTACCCAGGGACTAAATCTCAATATACATTTCTGTTACAGCCTCCGCTAACATCAGGAAACTCACCTGGAGAAAATGTCGTTGTGTGAGCCGTGATGACCCTCTTTGAGTCCATCTTCTCCGTATGCGTCGTACTGTTTTCTTTTCTCCTCATCTGAGAGAACCTACGAGAGAAACAAGGTCTCAGAACGAGCGATAACAAAAGATATTTTCATACCAGCGTGATCTAAAATAACAACATGAGAAAACACAGCCCATCACATCATCATTCAAAACACTATGATACAGAGCTCTGTTTTTCTTATTCTAAAAAAACAGTGTTATTATTATTTTACAAGACATGGTGGAGCTTGTAAATGTATTTTCTAGTCTTCTGACGACTCAAAGTGCTTTTACACAACAAGTCACACCTACACATTCACACACTGATGGTAGAGGCTGCTGTGTAAAGAGTCCATCAATACTAACTACTCCATTCATACACATTTATATGCTGCAGTCGAAGCAGTGGAAGCAACTTGGGGTTGTAGCTGGGGGAGCTGGGGATCGAACCCCCGACCATCATGTTGAGAGAAAACCAACTATACCAGCTCTACAGACTCCACCAACTGAGCCACAGCCGCCCCTAAGTAAGGCCGCCCACAACAATGGCAGGGCCCCTGATAGGCCCAGTGAATGGGCCCTCAACAGATTTTATTATTATTTATCTTAAATGCAGAAGAAGCATATAACTGTTGATGTTGTTGGTTGAGGTGGAATTATTTTTTTAAGTTTTATAACATAGGCCTGCAACTAATGATCATTGTGGACAACTTGAATTGAGCATTAACAGATGGATTATAATAATAATATGTATGTGTTTGTGTCCTTAACACAGGGTTTAGATTTGTTTGGATTATATATACTATTGTATTATTAGATTTATAAAATGCCCAAAAGATTAAAGTTCACTGATTTCAAACAGATGTTTACTTTATAGGCAGATTTAACTTTACAAGTATTTATTCAATAAAAAAGACAATGAGAGAAAATCTTAAAATAAAGGATGAGACATTATTGATCAACTTTAAGGTAATTTAATTAATGTGTATTATGCAAAAGTAAATACTTAACAGATGAAACACATTCTCCTCTATGATAAAAGTGAAGAGTGAGACTAATCACTTTGATTTGTAGGAGCAATGTGAATATTTGATCAGGAGACACCTGCTTAGAAATCCACTCCCACTGCTCCACGTCTTGTTTTTCTGTAAGTCAGCTGTGCCAGGCAGCAGCCAATCAGAGGCAGACACACGGTCTAGTCAACCAATCACAGTAGAGATTCCGTTTCCAACAACAACCAAATAGCTAACGTACAGAAGACTTCTGTATCGGTGCCTCAGGCTCTTCTGTTCTCAGTCATACATGAACAACTGTGTAGATAAAACACTCTTTTGACTAAAAAATAACGTTTACAATGCCATCATTCATCTCCAAGTGAAGAAAACACACTGCAATAGCTTTATACGCACCTCATAAGCTGCCCCCAAGTCTGCAAATTTATCTTGAGCTTTTGGGTCGTCTTGGTTTCTGTCGGGATGTAGCTGCAGAGCAAGCTTTCTGTAGGCCTTCTTTATGTCCCGGATCGATGCAGACTTGGTCACACCCAAGATCTGATAGAAATCTCGCCTGCAAGTTAAGAAAGGGGAAATAATCGGCTGTTTTTAGTTGGATAGCATGACTAGTATGTAGAAACACAGCTAACAGTGAGCTAGCTTCATAAACTAATAAGGAAGCAGCAAACACCAGCTGGCTACTGGTACGAAAGTAGTTCCTAGTCTATGTTCTATTATTTAAAAAAAACTGGCCCATTAATTTCACAGGTACGATCAGTTTTATCCACATATTTATTTTCAAACGTCCATTCATTGAATAACTAAAACTGAAAGAAAATCCGGCCACGTCCTTTACTTTGAAATCCGGAAGTGTTACGAGGATTTACGGTAACTTGTTATTGACCTATTATCTAACAAGATACTGGAATACTACAATAAAATCGACTCTTTACTTTGAGTAATTTAAGTTGGAGAGTATTTTGTTTAATTGTTGACCTTTTGTTTCGTACCAGTTTGTTTAAAAAGTCACTAATAGGTCCACATCGTAATTACCGTAAACCTCGTATCAATGCGCACATCGCAACAATTAAACACACTGGTAGCTATCTTTAAAGCTCATAGCAGTATTCGCTGAGTTTGAGTTTAGTTTAATAAAATCACAACAATTAAAATGAGAGTTTAGTGCGATGTCAGCCTGCCCCAGATTCATCCATACATGCAGAACAGCTCTGGACCAATCACAGAGGAACATGTGTACCACCTGGCGATGCTCTCTCTCTCTCTCTCTGCTGTGTGTGTGTAGCGTCCCAGCATAACCACACTTACCCTGCAAGCACAGCCGAGATCACATAAAGAAGCAGGCAGCACACATTGCAGAGATTCATCCCTTTGGCAGCCATAGAGCTCAGCGTACGTAGAAATGAAGGAGCGGAAAGAAGAGCCGGCTTTTTTTTTGGGGCTGGATCCCGCTGCCAGTCACAAGCCTTCTTCCTTCTGTCAGTGAGAGCCCGCCCACCGGATGACGACAGATCCGCCACTCAGTCAAAGCCCCGCCCACATTTAAAGAAAAATATCCGTTTTTTTTCCCTCTAAAGTATATTTTTATTTATTTATTTAAAAAAAGTTCCTCGATAGTAGAAAAAAACGTAAAAAGCTAATAATTAATTAGAATAAAAACAGTGAATATACCATAAACTGTATATACTGTTGGATAAACCCTTATATTCATACATTTATAATATAAAATTAATTCAATCTAATACACAAACACGAAAAATGTCGTCAAAAAATTAATATCGTACAAATTCGTAGCCTATTAAATTCAGTAAACATTCCGTTTACGTTCATTATTTAAATGAAGTGTTACGTCAGTTTTGAACAGCCCGTAGTGTAACAGGTTTCATTTAGTCTTTGTTGTTTGAGTTTGGGACAAAAAACACGTCTTTTCCCATCTCATCCTTTATTTAAAGATGCACTATGTAGTTTTGGTGGTGAAATTAAATAATTCTATGCTACATTTTCTGAACTAATTACACAAACTTTACCCAAAGAAAGAAATGGGTCCCTGGACACCTGTTTAGAGATTAAAAAGCTTCCAGGAGAGTTACAGTTTCACTGTTGTGGGCCCAACACCATAACATTTTATCTTCAAACAGTGTTACAGGGACAACATTTTCCTCTGAGGACAGTTTGTGTACAGAGTTAAGAACAATCTGTACACTTCTCCAACTTTCACATTTCTCTACAAAAACTACAAACAGTGCACATTTAAATTCAGCCTCTGATGTAAGTGTTCAATTATATGCTAGAAAGTATTCAAGATGTGTAGTATAATTCAACTGCAGCACAAAAATAACAGCTTTAGATTTCTGCATGACAACAAACCAGGGGAAGGCTGAAGCGCGCTCCCGCGAGCTGCGCGCAACAGATGTGAGCTCTGGGTCTCGATGGAGAGAGGAGGGCGCCAAACAGGAAGATGTGTGTGTCTCTGAGTCCTCCTGGTTCTGCCTCTAATCACAACAACCAGCATGTCAACGACATGACTTGAAGGAGTGAGCTGAAGCGTCAAGAAGGAGCAGATCGTTTCCAGACGGAGAAGAAGAAGAAGAAGAAGAAGGCACAAAGTAAGATCAAAACACAGGAAGCCATCACCCTGCTCGTCTTTGGAGCTAACGGTTGCTAAGTTAGCCGTAAACTAGTTTGGTGAAGTTAAACAGCACTTCAGTAATTCCTGTAGCCATAAATCTGCTTTTACAGTCAGTCAAAAATAAAAATAAAGAGCTGAGCGTATTCTTCGCTGTCTGATTGGATTAGTTTTAGCTTAACAGTCACATTTGTTCGCTTGCCAAACTTGATGTCAGGTGTTGGTGTCATGAACTGTCTGTGGCTGCCTGTTGTCATGGGAACATCATGAGGTCATTACAGGAGATGTTCATATTATTCCACCATAAAGAAACTTTTTTCACATGTTTTTGTTGTAACTTCACCCAGCTGGTGTTGCAAAAGTATTAAGTACATTTTTTAAAAATATTTCTTAACATTGCTACTTAATACTTACATTCTTACATTAGCTTTAAGTTTTCATAATTTCCTTTACTTTTCCTTTTTTTTTTTTTTCTTGGACTTGTGTTTTTTTGTTGTTGCAAACGTATTCATCAGTCATTGTGTCTCTTCATTTTTCTTGTTAACCTGGAATTTTTTTAATGCAAAAATTATCAGGATCAGCTGAGTCCCTTTGCACCTTTTAAGAAAAACTGAAGACCCAGCTCCTTATGAACACCTACGACCTTCATGATGATGATGATGTCGAAGATTTAGGTTGGTTTTAATGCTGATTAGAACTCTCAAGAACAGCTGATAGTGTTGTGATCTTCCTCTGGTCACTTCCTGTCAGCCCGTCTGACTTTGAATTTCCCTCGGGATCAATAAAGTATCTATCTATCTATCATCTGGTCATTTCCTATCAGCTCCTGTGCCCTGCCTCTTGTCACTTCCTGTCAGCATCTGTGTGTCTGATCAAACTTAAAGCTGTTTGTTAGCTCTTCCTGACTTTGTTTCCTCCTCTCTAGATCCTCGCTTGTGTTCTTACTCTCTGATGTACGTCGCTTTGGATAAAAGCGTCTGCTAAATGAATTGTAGAATTAAATCGTCTTTTATGTGAGCCTTTGAATGTGTTCTTCTCCTTCAGACATGGAGGCAGAAAGCGTGAGCGTATGGCCACGCATGGAACCCTTCTTACTGGGGGCCCTGCAGGTGAATCAAGTCTTTCCACATATTCATTTTATTTTTCAGTGGATGCAACTCCTTCTGAAATGACCAGAGTTTAATGGCCTTATATTATAGGTGTCGCCACCCTCCAAGCTCAGCCTGCATTATTTGCGCAAGATGGCGACCTATGTGCGGACACGGGACGGCTGTTTCCCCTCTCTGGGCTGGTCCATGTGGAGACACATTGCCTGTGGTAAACTCCAGCTCCCAGAAGACATTGCATGGCTCTACTTTGAGACCTTTGACCTTCTTTTAGGACACACTCCAGAGGAGAGGCTGGAGCGGGCCGAGTGTCTCTCCCAGTGCTCCGACAAAAGTGAGCTGAACCAACAAAGGACCAAGGTAACAAAAAAAAAAAAAAACAAGGGTGGAGGTGACTGAGTGTACTAAATTATGTAACACTATCTGGTGACTTGTTCATGAGGGTGTGCTGCTCATTGTTGTGTTTTTGCCTGAGGCAGAGGCTCGTGTCTCCACAGATTGATCTGAACCTGTTGTTTGTGTTTTCTCTTACTTCAGCTGTCTGTGGACACCCTGCAGTTCCTCCTCTTCCTCTACATCCAGCAGCTTAATCGTGTGTCTCTACGCACCTCTCTGATCGGTGAAGAGTGGCCCAGTCATCGTACTCGCTCCCCATCTCCATCAGACCGAGAGGCCAAAACCAGCTCTCAGAACAAGGTCTGTGCTCCTGCGGAGGACAAAAGACAGTCTGAGAACTGATTCTGCAGTTCCCCTGAGTTCCTCCTATTGTATTACCTTTAAAACACAGGAGTTATTGTCATGTCACTCATTGTCTTTTTCTGTTTGTTTGTTTTGGGGTCACTAGAACTGGGACGATCAGGCCCACCTGTCATTCGTGCAGAGTCATCTAGCTGAGATCCTGGAGCTGCTGGTGGAGCCGGGTCAGCTCTCACAGTCTGGACAGGCGCTCAGGGACTGCCAGGTGTGTAAGAGCACATCTTCTGTGTTACTTTACAGTGACAGACCAAATGAGAAGGACATTTTTAAAATGGAGAAATGCCATATAACAGGGTGAGAGGGGTTGCTGTAAGTGATGAACCAACGGAAAGAAAGTCCCTAAAGCTCCTGCTGTCCCTTTGCTTTATGGGGATTTATGATTATAATAATGATAATACACATCATAGTTATGCTTTTCTGAATACACAAAGATGCTTAACAAAGAACAACAAGAAAACAAAACAAAGAATAAATAATCAAAGAGAAGGAGGATATTACAGACAGAAACATTTGGAGACCAGCAGGTGGACATAATAATAATAAAACCAGATCTTTAACCTCTTAACTCCATTTTTGTAGAAGAAGTCACTGCATTACATTTTAATTCTTGGTTCACAGAGAGCTGCTCTGGATGTGTTAGATTCAATCATCTGTGGTTTGAGAAATGCTGAAACTTTAAAACTGCCCATATGATGCATAGTGTTGTTTTATTTTTCCAGATATCCCTGGAGGCTGTGCGGAGTTTGGGCCTGCTCTTGGAGGGCTCAGTCTGTCAGGGCAGAGTTGTTCAGCCCGTCCACCGACTGCTCACTAAAGGTCCGCTGCAAACACAGGCCGGCTACTCCTCACACAGCCACTCCTTCCCGCTGCACAAGCTCCTCTCCTGTCTCCAGCAGAGCCTCACACTCAACCCGTTCGGGATGACCGCCTGTCTGCGCTCAGGAAAGAAACTGGCCTGGGCTCAACAAGGTAACCTGACACCTGCTGGCAAAAAGAAGCACTTTAATGTCCGTGTCTGTCAGCTCAAGCTATTTACATTCCTTTGACCATGTCTTTGCTCATTGCAGTGGAGGGCGCCATGAAGAGAGCCAAAATAGCCCGTAACACTCACATGGCTCCACCCGGCAGCAGGATGGTGCTGATGTCACAAGTGTTCAAACAAACTCTGGCTAAAACCTCCGACAAACTGACAGGCACCAAAATCAAAATCCACAGATGCTCGGATGCCTTCATATACCTGCTGTCGCCTCTCAGGTAACGTTAGCTTCCTGTAACGGACTTATTTTAAATCATAAATGACTAATATGTACAAAATGGCTTTAGCCTGTAGCCGTGAAATGGGCTGTAATGGCTGCACCATAGTCCTCGGGGGGGGGCAAAGGGTCCTGGTCTAAATACATCCCGGTCTATCCCCTTGGAGACCGCTTCTGTAACATGAATGTTTTGGAAATGCTTAATCTGTCACTGGTACTTGTCGTTTCAGATCAGTCAGCGTGGACAAGTGCAGAGACACCACAGTGGTCCTGGGTCCTGTTGAGACCAGCGTCCACATCCACGGCTGTCAGAACGTACGGCTGGTCTGCGCAGTTAGAAGGATCGTCATCGGAGCCTCTTCGTCTTGCACCATCCACGCCTTGACGCCCACCCGCCCTCTGCTCCTACCAGGAAACACAGACATTACCCTGGGGCCTTTCCACACTTTCTACCCCTCCCTGGAGGACCACATGGCCAGTGTGGGACTGGCCGTCGTCCCCAACGTCTGGGATCAACCCTTACTCCTGGGGGCGGAGGGTCTCAACCCGTCACCTAATGCGTCATCCAGCCAGGACCCTTCCTGCTACCGCCTGCTGCCCCCCGCTGAGTTCCACATGCTGGTTGTGCCTTTCAACATGGAGGGGGACTCGTGTGAGGTGCCGGGGGGGTTACCTCCTCTGTACCAGGCAGCTGTGGATGAGAAGCAGAGGCGGATACAGAACTGGCAGAAGACGGTGATGGAGGCGCGGCTGAACAAGTGAGTGTCTAAAAGGGGCCGTCCTGATGCCGTAAATAATAAGTGGAATCATTTGATAGACTGTGTAAAAGCACTGAAACGCCTGTGATCCATAACTGTGTAAAAATAAGTCAGATTCCATTATCCAGCGTGCTGTCTGATCAGTGGAAAGTTATAACCTAAAAGCCATCCTGAAAAATCAATAAGAATGTGAGTTAGCCTCTCAGCTGCTGAGATATTGTAGAGTTCAGAAAACAGGCTGGACAGGCTTCACACTGGATAAAACAAATCATAGGACGCTGTTCCATGAGGAAAAAAAACCTCTGATTGATTTCTATGTTCAGAGCTTTATCCAAAGGCAGCTGGACTTGGTTGAAGTTGGACTTGGTTGAACCTGAAAAAACGCTTGGTGGATACGCAGTATCGAATGAGAATCAAAGTATGTTGAATTCTGACGACCTCAGTGTGGGAGGAGTCTCACACCGACTCTGAGAGAGATCCGCCACATGCAGTTTGTAAGACCAGTGACGTGTCAGGAGGATTGAATACGAACAACAGTTTAAAAACCTCCAATCTCATAAAAGACACACAAAGAATATAAAGAAGTAATGAAACAAATCTGTATCCACAATCGTCTAGATCGTTATCGTAAACATCAGTATCTGCCCGGATTCTCACCATCGATAATAATCTTCTGGTTTAAGAGGAGGTAATAACTGTAACTGTAAAGGATGCACCAGTCATTTAAACTCTTTTTAGGTGGAGGTTTTCGACATTACAACTTCATTTTGATCACATGATCTGAAGAATGAACCGACATGTCTTTAAATGTAATGTGTAGATCACCTGATGTGATGTTCACCTTTTCTTGTTTCCCTGTTGTGACCGATCTTTCATCTTTTTGACCCACAGGGAGCAGAAGAAGAAGTTCCAGGAGCTGGTCGAGCTGAAGTTCCACCAGTGGCTGCTTGAAACGGGGCACAGGCTGGAACTGGACAGCCTCATCCCACCCACATTAACCTCTCTGAATGACTCCAACGGGACTGCAACGGGCACGGCCCAAGTCAATGATGACAGAAGACCTCTGAGGAATGGCCGGCCGGTGGGACAGTCCCCTTTGGCCTGCTGAGCTGGAGGGTCTGGGTCTCTGACACGGAACAGGTGTCACTGTTAACTTGACACAGAAATATGAGCGTACATTTTGTTTGTGGTTATTAAAACCTCACTCTGAAATTTCTGGAGATATCCCTCCAGCGTTTAAAGAAACTTCTGAGCCTCTTATTTGTCAACAGACGGCTCGTACAGTAGAAGAAAAAGGCAGCTTAGTCGTTAAGATGCCTGAGCGAGGTAGGGAGTGGATAGGCAGGTTGTTGAACCACATTGTAAGCACTATTCTAACGAGGGGGAGCTTTAGTAAACAAACACACACAGGTGCAGCTCCTGAGAAGTCACAGCAATCTGCTGAGGAGGTAAAGGTCAACACGGCTCTGACAGAAGCGAGTCTTGAAGTCATGCAAGGAAACTCTGTGTTTGTTACCCGTGAGCACTTCTTTACATAATCCGACGTCTGATGGATGCATCAGTTATGACCGCATTATGGACAGGATCAGGTCAAAGATGAGGACTTCTTCCTTCAAGTATAAAGTGATTCTTCCCTTTTTCCTCCCAAACTCTGTACCCTGTGCGTCTCTCGTAAATGTACTAACATGTCAGTCATGCCCAGTCACATGCTCAGGCCGTAATGTTTAGATGAAAGGGAAAAAGAAAGGAATATGAAATGATTATTTGTATGTACGTAATCTCACCGTCCACATGGTCACATTCTAAGCACACTGGTGAACATTTGAGCGCTGCTCAGCCTTTGGATGTTGGATTTTTTCTGCCACAGCTCAGTTATTGATCCCACAGCGGGGGGTTTTCAGCTTTCCAATAGAAATATTTGCTCTGACATCGATGAGTGCTGTTTGACCACAAGTGCACAATCACTTTTTTTTCTGCAGATTAATTTTTCGAGTACAACAAAAACAGCTGACACAAAGACGTGCCAAATGAGGCAGAATGACGTCCTGATGTTGCCTAAATGTCCGTTTATTTTTGTATGAACTCACCTGTATAAATATGTATATTTAAGCACTTAAAGCCACCCTGCACTGAAGTGTACTTCAGACCTTTGGGTTCCTGTTTGTTCCCACACACTCGTTCCAGCTTGTTTCTGTTTGAGTTTGCAGACTGGGTCGGTGTGTCAAAATCTGTACTGTACAATATGTGTCAGAGGAAATGGGATCAATATGTGACTAAAAGTTTTCCTCATGCCAAGAGATGTGTGTTTGATCTCTGAACATGATTTCACTGTACAATACCTTCCTGCTGTTACCTTGCTAACTTACCCTTTAACTTGAACATGAGCGACTCTATGCAGCTGCCGGACGAGGAGAAGAAAATAGATTTAGATTTTTAATTATATAAAAATGAATAAAGTTTTTGGAATAAAGCTGCTTCGCCTGTCTTTACATTTCTTTGCGTCACATGTCGCAGTAGGAAATATTAAAGCTCCTGTGAATGTGGGCTTGTCTAGAGGGTTGGCATGGGCCGCCCTTGAAATCTGATCGAACACCCCAAATATCCGAAACTGTGATTGGTTATCAGCCTTGTAAGAGGCGGGACTTATGTTAAAAAGGGCTTTTTTGCAAAAGACTGCTAGTAGTTTCCTTTACAGATCAATGCAGCATATTTATTTTTGTTTGTAATTTAAATTGTAAACAATACTTTGCACATCTACTTCATAAAACATGTATATAGGAAAGTATTGCACTCGGTATTATTTGTAACAAACTAGCCGGGAGCAAAACATCACCAATTAATGTAATTTTGCGAGTTAGACACTGCAGGAGTTTGCATTCCAGTGCTATGCCGACGACATCCAGCTCTACCTCAGTCACTCGTCAACTTCTTTCACAGCATAAAAACATGGCCGTCATCTAACCTTCTCAAACCAAACACTAACAGAACAGAGCTCATGGTTGTGGCCTCTAAAGCGATGCCCTGGAAGGTTGGAGATAGTCTCCTTAATGTGAACGACCGCTCAATCTGCCCAGAACCAGGAAGTCCGCAACCTGGGTGTCATTCTGGACTCCATCCTGTCATTCCAGTCACATCAAATCCATCACCCAATCTGCACCCTACCATCTCAAAAATATCTCCAGACTCTCCGACCCTTTAGCAGAATCTCTCATTCACGCCTTCATCCCTTCTCGTCTGGATTATTGCAATGGAGTCCAGTCAGGGGAACCTAGCAAAACCCTGGACAGGCTCCAGTATGTGCAGAACTCAGCTGCCAGGGTTCTCACCCGCACTAAGCCCTGGCAGCACATCACCCCCACTGGCTCCGGGTCAAGTCTCACAGCGGCACAACATACAAAATCCTCCTCCTCATTTACAAATCTCAGCTTGCCCCCCCCCCCCCCCCCCCACAGTTCAATTGGACTCTTCATTGGTTTATTTATAAGCAGACTGAGCGAATAGTACAAGGTCCCACAAATGGCAAGTAACAACATGGTTCATTGTGAATGCACTCATGTTCTAATTCATCTTAATCTTAAAGGGAAGTTGGTTCTTTAATTCTCAGTTTGTTGCAAATTGGTGCAGGGTCTGCAAAGTTTGGAAACTTATGGTGCATTCATGTGGTGTCAGACGCATGGGAAAAACGAGTTTCCGAGATGTAAACTGCACATGAACACCTGCTCAAGTCGGAACAACAACTCAGAAACTCGGAAAAGAATGATTGCCCGTCTTCCCGACTTGAGTCTTCCCGGCTTTTTAGTCCTGCTTCAAAACTTATTTTTACATGTTAGCGTTTGAGTCCCCTGGTCCTACTGTATATATATATATACTATAGATACTCTTACAAACGTTGTAAACTCCTGTTAGATCTTTCTTTAATGCATTGTTCGGCTCTTTGGTCAGCTGCTGCTTTTTTTAAATGTTTATATAGTTGACAATATTACAGACATGAGATTTAAAACGGAGGGTCTTTAACCTCTAATGGGGTACCCTGTGTACTTTTCCTCGGGTTAAGGATGTGAATACTTCCTCCTCCTCTGCACTCTGCTCTGTCTGGATGCATCCATAAGGCTGATAGAAGTCCTGAGTTGGCAGGTCCTCACCAGGTGGGGGCAAGCTGGTGGAGCTGGCATGTGTGTCATGGTGCGAGAGCTGGAGCGGGGGGTGGGCACTGGACCCAGCTGGTACAGAAGTGGGGGTCAATGGACGCTAACCATGCCCGGCCTTTATGCCGTAATCCTTCCTCGCTTTTCTGGAAAAACTGAATAGCACTAGAATCACTGACTCAATTTTTTGGATCTCATTTTCATGACAAAGCGATTGTTCCCCTTTTGCCTCCAGTGTTGCTGTTTATGAACGTGGGAACGGCGGGGGTATAAAAGGGAGCGGTGAGGGGGCAGAGCAACATCGAGACCTCAGGGGAGCAACCAGTACCACCACCAGCACCACCTTAACCAGCAGCATCTCCCAGCACCACCGAGGAACATCACCGCCAAGATGGGCAGGGTGAGTGGAGACAGAGTGGCACCTGCAGGGTCAGGTTTTGGTTTAATATGCCATTCCAGTCCAGGCGGACGGCTCTCCACCTACGAGTCTGGCTCTGTTTGAGGTTCTACCTGTAGAGAGGAAGCTTTTCTGGCTCATGGTGGATATCGTTGGATCTCTGTAAAAAAATATGGTCCAGAGCTCCTTGTTTTTAAGTGTCCTGAGGTTATTTTTGTCATGTTTTGGATTAACTGATTGGATCTGTGGGGATTTAAGGTGTGGGAGAGGTTTTGTTTGTGGCCCTCTTTGCAGTTTTGATGTTGGTTTGAACTCATTTGAAGTGTTTTTACAGGTTAAAGCTGAACGGGCATTTTGAAAACTGAGAAAAATCTTGCAAAGCGATCATTCTCTGAAACTCAAATGTCAAAAAAACAAACAAAATCAAACTTGTTCTGAAGTTTTTGCAATAAAAATTGGCGCTCAAATCGATAATGCTCCATGTGTGTCGCCCCCCCAGATCGTCTTCTACGAGGAGAAGAACTTCCAGGGCCGTCGCTATGAGTGTGACAGCGACTGCTCCGACTTCCACACCTACCTGAGCCGCTGCAACTCCATCCGTGTGGAGAGCGGCGCCTGGGTGGTGTACGAGAGGCCCAACTACATGGGCTACCAGTACGTCCTGACCAGAGGAGAGTACCCGGACTATCAGCGCTGGACGGGCGTCAACGACCACCTCAGCTCCTGCAAGATGATCCACTTTGTAAGTCAGCCGTGGCCCGTGGTCTGATCAGCTGCACGCTCTGACTCTTAGCTGTGAAACAGAGAGAACAGCTTTTTATGACGACCCACTTTAATATTTAATCAGACGCTGTTAAAGATGACTCTTCATTCATGACGCGTTGGCATTGAATTCTAATGAGTTTAAAAATACATTTTTATCTCAATTTCGCTGTTGTCGAAGTAGCAAAATATTTACAGTTTATTCTTCCATGGTCAAAATGTTTCTTAACAGAAGAAACTTTTATTGCAGAAATCTGGAACTGCTAAAACTTTTGTACTTTTACCAACGACCGCTGTTCAAATGTCAATTCCAATATTCTTTAATTTTAATTAGAGCTGTCAAACGATTCACATTTTTAATAAAGATTAATCGCATGTTTAAAATTCCATTTTTTTTCATTTAAAAATAAAAGTTGTAAGGCTGAGAGTACATTACTTCCTGTTCGAATTCAACCCTGCTTTTATTTTGAAATACAGTAAGGACCTTCTTATACTATAGATGGAAGGTTTGGACAGGGCTTCCCAAACTTTTCGGCCCGGGACCACAAAAATGTTGTTGAGCTTAAACTTCATGCTCTAAAATAAATATTAACGATGCATTGATGAGAAAAGTCATCCATACAGAGAGTCAAAATGAAAAAGAAGCTTTAAAAAAAAAAAAATCTGTTATTATTTATAAGATTTAATTTAGTTACAAATGTTACTTTCTGTGAAAAAGTACTTTCCACTTGTGAAATCTAAACGTTTCAGTCGCCTCTGAATGGCGTTTGATGTGCACTTTGTGGGTTTTGAACTCGAGTTCATGCTTCGGATGCTCAGATTGTTAGACAGGCTGATAGACGCCACACAGAGTGCACGGCACAGAGGTTGTTGTTGATGCTCACAGTGACCGCGGGGCTTTGTCGATGCAGACGGATATCTGGGTCGCTCTATTCCTACGATCAAACAGACACAGCCTGCAGGCTCAGTTGGGGCTTTCATACAAAAATCAAACTCGTTCGTAGAAGCTGCTTGGCTCGTGTTGAGCGGATGACGATTTGAAGTGAGCTAAAAGGAGCGCTGAAGTTATCCAGATGGTGTTGTAGATCTCACTAGACACACCGATGATCTCGTCTCTACCTCATAGAGACGATTCATCTTATTTCGAAGGGCAGAGCTACAAAGCCGAGCCCTTCTGAGATATCTGTTGGCTGACTCAATAAGCCAATAATGACCCGTGAAAGGCCTGTTGGTATCAGCTTTTGAGTTTCCAGTATGTGCCGATATGGAGGTTTTTCTTGCAGTTAAACAATGCTTGTTGTCATTTAGAAAGTTTTTAAATGTGGTTCATGCAGCAGACTACAACAACTGTATAATTAACAATACTCTGAGCTATGGCTGCCCATGGCGGTCATCAAAAACATGGGCAAACAGGGCTGCATGATGGTGTAGTGGTTAGTGCACAGTGAGGAGGTTCCTGGTTTGAATCCCCGTCCTTTAGGAGCCTCTCTGTGTGGAGTTTGCATGTTCTCTCCGTGTATGGTGGGTTCTCTCTGGGCACTCCGGCTTCCTCCCACAGTCCAAAAACATGCTCATCAGGTTAACTGCTGACTCTATATTGTGGATAGTTCTCAGTCTCTATATGTCAGCCCTGTGATTGACAGGTGAACAGTCCAGGGTGTACTCCATCACTCGCCCATTGACAGGTGGAATCGGCTCCGGCCCCGGTGACTCGAACGGGAAAAGCGGTATAGATAATGGATGGATGGATATGGAAGCAAGTCTTATCCAGGAAGCTAACGCTACTGATCTGACATGTATACATTGATATTGTAAAAGAAAATCTGAAGAGGGCTCGTTCGCTTGGCATATCAGGGGCCCTGCCATTTTTGTGGACGGGCCTGCTCATAACCATGGCTACACTGACAACACGATGACTTGATTGACAGGATATTAATTGCTAAATATTTCAGAAGTAAAGAATCGTTTTGGTGCTTCCAGCTGCTTGAATGTTTGAAACTGCTGCATTTTGTTACATTAACAGACTAAACAATGAATCAGAGGCTCGATGGGCGCCCTGTGGACAGCCGGGTTGCAGCTAGAGCGGGAACAGACAGCTTTCCGGATCAGAGTAATCCAGAACACACCAGGATTGTGCAGATCGTCTTTAAAGTTTAATGCATATAACAGCGTGTTTAGCACAGTGGCTTCCTCAGGTTCGCTACAATAACCTTTGGAGAAGCTTTGCATTCATAGTGGGACAGGATACAGAAAGAAAAACATGATTTTTTTTGCCCCAGCTGAAAGATAAACAGCCAAATTAGTGGTTCAGGGATTTTCCTCTTAAATGGGTGACAGTGTAATCCTACAGTGTAGCACAGAATCATATTTATGTCACGCTCTTGTACAAATATATCTTCCTCTTAGATGCAAATCTCACCTCCCTCTATATCCCTCCATCCCCTTTTTTCTCACCCCACACCCCCTCCCCATTTTTCCCCAACCCTCTGCACTAACTACCCCCTCCTCACCTCCACCCATCACTATCTGCCTGCTAATTCTTTCCACCTCCTGCGCCCCCCTCCTTCCAGACCAGCGGGACCATGTACAAGATGCAGCTGTATGAGAAGGCGGACTTCGGTGGTCAGGCCTACGAGACCTCAGAGGACTGCCCCTCCCTCGTGGAAAAGTTCCGCTGGAGAGAGGTCTACTCCTGCAAGGTCTACGACGGCTGGTGGGTTTTCTACGAGCACCCCAACTACCGCGGTCGCCAGTACTTCCTGGAGAAAGGAGAGTACCGCAAGCACGGAGACTGGGGCGCAGTCAGTCCCACCGTTCAGTCCTTCAGGCGCTTCACGGAGTAATCACCCTCCATCCAAATCGCTAAACGCAAACGACCTACCATGCTGACATTTGACTCTGATTTTCATTGACTATTTTGTGATTTGAACTGAGGTCTCGCAAATAAAAGCCTGTCCTGAAAGCACACTGAAGACATTTCTACGGGTTTTCATTCATGAGTTGTTTCATGTCCACTTTTTAGACTTTTTAAACACTCGTCTGCAGCTAAACGGACAGACACTATACGTGTGAGCTCTGAATGCACCTTGTTAAATCAAGTTTGACCTTTTTATCCAGTTTAAAACATTTCAGTCCTCACCTTAGCTGCATCATAGGTCTCTGAGGAACTACACCTAAGTGGGTTTCCTAATCGGTTTGTTTTGCAACTGACAGGCTCAAAAGTTTATTCTCAGTGTCTCAAAATACTTCAGACAAAAACCCCACCAGACCCCACATCATTTTACCTTCCAGTTCATGGCAGTAGCTCGACTTACGCTGCCCCGATTAGTCGGTTTTTATGTGTTGGGACTGTGACACAAAATATTTTGGATCAGATCTTACCGTCGTAAAACAAGCCAAGGGATAACAACAACAACTACAGAATAACCTTTCGAGGCAGCAGTGATCAAAAAGTTATGTGCTTCTTTTACATTGTGCTCTAAACCCATTTAAACAGAATATAACATTTGCGTGTGTATACCTTTAAGACCTGAGGAGAAGTTGGCATGCTTCTAGCTTTAAGACCAAGCAGCAACCTCTGGTGTTGAAAAAAATTAAGCCGATGCTTCATCCTGCAGTCCTATAAAATCCTGCAGTTCCTCGAGTGTCCACTAGAGGCTGGCTGCAGAAACACAGGAAGTCACATACACACCCATTCTAAAAAGCCTGTTTTTACAGCAGAGATTAACATGTTTACAGCCTGGTTCAAAAAAACAAACAGGTCTGATTAGCTCATGTCTCGATCAGCACACACTGTACGGGGGGTGAATGTTTTGATGACTCATCCGTTTTGATTTGATGAAGGATAAGAGTTATTCACAATAAGGCGTGTAGATGACCTGATTGACAGGTGGGCGCGGTGTAACAGTTTGTCAGGAGGCTTAAAACCTGCCTCAGCTCCAGCTCTCAGCCTGTTGTTATGTTGACTGAAAGTTAGGCTGAGACAGCATTTCCAGCATGGAGACCACCATCGATGGGACTCCAGCGCCCCCCTGCAGGAACAGACGGGGGACATCACTCAGGCTTCAGTTTTGAATAAACCTTTATATTCTGTCCTGGGTACCTGAAAACCCTCAGGTTTTGCAAGCTTGCTTTTTTAAACAGTAGGGTGTATCTTTAGGCTGCCTTAGGTCTGAATGGGTTTAACATAAATATCTATCTCTGAAGGGATCCTCTTCTGAGCCTATTGAAGCATTTTGAGCCTTTAAGTAACAACAAGCCTTGTAAGAGGAAGTTCTTTGATTCGCCACAAAGGATTGCATTGCAGCCTTTACAGAGAGTTTTGCGGCTGCAGGCTGAAGAAATCCAATGAAGCAATTTTACTGTTTCTGGTACCTTTGACTCATGAATCAATGTAAGAATGTGTAAAAAGCAGACGCAGGATGAGTGCATAATACAGGGGTTCCTTCTGACAGTTTCTTTTTTAGTGGAGAAAAACCTTCGGTCTAGTTCATCCCAGTGCAGGTCTGAGGTCTACAGTGACAGGCTGAAGGTTGAAGTAAGTCCCGAATGAGAAACAGTTTCCTCCTCCGCCAATCAGGAGCAGCCGAGGCCGTTCTGTGTCCATCAGCTCCGAGCAGAAAGAGTGCAGCATCAGAGGCCACGGCACGGAGGTCTGCAGAGTCCAGAACACAAAATCATTCAAAATAGCCAAAAAAAAAAACTGATCAGGCCTCTAAAGCTTTAAAATCTGATAAACATTTACTGACCGTATCCAGACTGAACTCCACACTGCTGTGTGTCGCCAGGTCGATGATGAGAACGCCTGGGACGCCGTCTGAATGCAGCCAAACTCCTCCAACCACAACCAGCTTTTCACCCACCACATGAGCACCATGAGAGTACCTGAAACAAACATTTAAAACGTGCAGAAAGCAAATGATTCCAGCTCTTAGCATGGAGTAAAAACTCCAGGATGTGGTCTTAGTTGAGTGATCATGTAACAGCTTTGTCACACCTGGGGAGAGGAGGGGGCTGCACCTCTAATCTCTCCCAGGTGAAGCCTCTCTCAGTGGGCCGTAGAACAGCTGAGTCTCCCAGCGGCACCCCGCCTCTGTCCAGTCCTCCAAACATCACCACTCCTCCCTGATGTGCACACGCTGAGTGGGAGTGACGAGCCTCTGGTACTGCGCCCTCTACTGGCATCTGCAAATAGTACACACTCACTCAGCTTCTTACAGGACAATAAAGTCAAACATTAACAGACTCAGAAACTGTTTTATTCCACAGGCTGTTTGCGTTCAGACATGCATCTCCTCCTGGAAATATCAGGAGTCTTTCAGGAGTTTTCTGCAAATGTCAAAGTCTCATTTTTTTCTGTGTGGTGTTCTGATACGACGCAGGATTTAACAAAGAATCTCGCTACATAAGGCTTGTTTCAGTCCGGTGAGTTGAGGCCATTTTAAGAGTAGGTTCAGATTATTACATTTTAATTATTCTCAAATCAGACCAATCTTAAATTCAACACAATGGCTGCAAGATCTGTTATTTGTAATGTCACAAAGTGTCTATTTTTTTGTGAGCTTTTTTTAAAGGATTATTTTTGGCCTTTTTTTTTTTTTTTGCCTTTACTTCCGAGACAGGACAGATTATAGAGTTGGAAATGAGAGTGAGGTATGACCTGCAGCAAAGGAGCCACAGGTCGAATTCGAACCCGGGCCACACGCTTTGAGGACTATGCCTTCTGACATGGGGCATGCAGACTAACCAGTAGGCTACTGGCGCTCCAGTTTGTGAGCTTTTCTTCATGCTGTCCTGTAGACGGTCCTGTGATGTAAATGTGTTTAATGTTTTTTGTACCTGCCTCAGGATGACGGATTAAACTGAGCTATAATGCTAATACCGGCATATTTACATGGACGAGTAATGCCCTTATGTTGAAGAATGTGCACGGCCCTAATTCAAGAAATGAAACAATCAAACCTCGGTCCAGTGCTGCCGGTCCAAACACAGGAAGTGACTGTCACCCAGAGCTGCCTCTGATTCATTCTTTCCACCAAACACAAACAGGAAGTTGTTGCCTGCAGTGAACATAAGACGTTTTGTGATGTCATAAGTACTTTAGGATGAAACTGTATGATCACATGATATTTCTTTTTTTAAATCTCACCTTTATGGCTGAGTGTAGTAGCGGTGTGCCTCCATCTTGGCGTTGGCGGATCGCCCGTGCAGACCAGCTGCTCCGCGTTAAGTTGGACTGCGCCTCCGTCCTCTGAGTCAAGAGGACCAGGTGAGGCAGCAGGGTCAAAGGTCACTCTGAAAAGACCTCTGGTTGGGTTTAAAGGAGAGGAGCGACCACCGTAAATCACAAGACTTCCTCCAGGGAGAGCGGTGACTGTGTGGTAGAGTCGAACGCCTGGAGACAAAGTTATCATCGGTAAGAAGAAAAAAAACAACAACAAACGTTTCCATTTTGGGCGGGCTCGGTTGTAAGAAAGCCAAAAGTACCGCTGATAGAAAACAGACATCCAAAGCCGCTCACCTAGATCTTCAGATGGTTCCACCCTCACAGATCTCCAGCCTTCCTCCCCTCTGAGGAGCATCCTGGTCCCGGCCCCTCTGCCCTCTCTGCTCGAGCCTCCTGTTAGCAGGACTCGCCCCGGGCTCACCGAGCCTGACGCCATCCCCAGCCCCTCCAAACTGACTGATGCTGTCTTTACACTCAGAGCTGTGGCGCTCAGAGAGGGCAGGATGGATGGCGCTGCAGATACTAACCACAAAAACAAACAAACTTGTGAGTTTGGAATGAGGACGGAAGTTTTATTTTATCAAATAGAAACAAAGTGTGGGTTACCTGGAGCGTGTGAGAGTAAAGCCTGCGACATCAAAGAGCCTCGAGATGCAGTGAGGATGAAATAATGTGAACATTTCTGATGCCACTCCTGAGGACAGAAAGAAAGTCCTGTCTTTAAGTCTTTAAGGGTGACGACGTAGATCTCATACTCTCCTCATGTTAACCTTTCATGTCGTCAGTCTGCGAAACGTAAAGAGCAGCTTTGCATGATCTTATTTATCGGATACTGGGTGACAAACAGGCTCACCTCATATTCATCAAACGGCTCCAGACTCTCCACTCGGTGTCTCTCCTCCTCAGAAACCAGCCCGAGGTAAAACTCATTCATATCCAGACACACACACCGCTCCCAGCCCTGAAAACACACACACACACACACACACACACACACACGGGACGTCAAAAACGCAGAAATCATGAGTCATCAAACATTTCTGAATGAATCCAGAGTGGACACACGGTTTTCAATAAATCGGCTCCATAAACTGCTCGAATAAGAGTGTGAACCCTCAGACCTGAATTTAATTTAATTTAATTTAGGCCTCGTCCACACATAGGAGGGTGTTTTTTTTTTAACAGAGGTTCTTCTGTGCGTTTTGAATTTTTCGTACGACTACTGCGTTTTAGGTCCCTGAATCTGCAACTTCTGTAAAACTCCATCCAGCTGTGCGCCGGTTTCTCCTCCGTTTGACGTCATTGTGTGACGCTGTTACTTTTGTTGACATGAGATTAGTGCGATGGCAGACGTAACCAAACTAGCACTGGTGCTAACGTTGCTAACTGGACTTTTTTACATGCTCACACAAACATACATACATACACAGTTACTCTCCCACTATGTTGACGAGCAGAGACGTCTGATTGGACGACTCTGTAAAAAGGAATGGTCATTACGGAGGAATAGCGAGAACATTTTAGCATGTCATGGACATCGTTGTTGACTTGGTGTTCTCATGACAGCCGTAACAGTGCCTTTAGCATTTTCATGTGGACAGAGATGTTTTTGAGAACTGAGCGTGTGTGGACGGGATTCTTTTTTTTTTAAACGGAGGAGGAAAACCACCATTTAAAATAATACCCGCCTACTTGTGGACAAGGCCTTACTGGTGCTGATTAGCAGAAGGTGTTTTGGTACAGGACGAGGTGACGATCGTGTGATTCTATGTTTTGTGACGACCCCTCCACACCACTAGGTGTCCCCGTTTTGCTGGTTCTTTCTCCTCTGTTTTAGGTTCTGGTTGAGGCGGGGTCGTGATTACGGGATTTAGCTGCAGTCCTCATCAATTAATCCTCGTCCTCAGGCAGACGCTTCCTCCCCATGGCAGCGCGGCTTTTTCTGGTTTGTTTAAGTCACTATTTTTGGAAATAAATGGAGCGTTAATTTGCAAACACCTCGTCTCGACTGTGACTTCAAGAGGTTCTTGGAGTACTCGTATATTTTTGTTCATGAATTAAAGGGTTGGAACATCCGACCTGAACCTTCTGACCTCATGAAGATTTGTTTTGAGTGACGATGCTTTTTGAACACTCCTGAACAAGGCCGTACAAACCCGACCCCACAGACAAAAGATGCGTCTAACACACATTTTAGGAGCAACGGTGACAATATACTCTCAAAATGTGATCTGCGTACTGGCCTTGTCCAGGAACCTGTGTCTCTGAGCAGCAGTGTCGGGGTATTGTCGAAGTGCGTGCAGGGTGGAATTCAGTTTCAGGAAATGATCTTGCATGATGCGACCGAAAGCATCGTGTGGATGGATCTGCTCGTACATGACGAAGAGCGACTGTGTAAGACGCTTTGCGGCCCAGCGAATGACGGCATCCGACCTGAAAGACACACAACACAAAGTACACAACTATTACAACAACAGTGGCAATTATAGCTCATTTGAGATCATAATCCCACTATTTTAGGAGATATTTTAGTGATCCAATTGTTGCACCAAACTGAGCAGCTGTGGCTCAGTGGTAGAGACATTGTCTCTCAACTGGAAGGTCGAGGGTTTGATCCCCAGCTCCTGCAGCCACATGTCCGATGTGACACTTAACATTAAGTTGCTTCCCCGTGTGAATGTGTATGATTGGCATGAGTTGCTTCTGATTGACTCTTTAAACAGCAGCCTCTACAATCAGTGTGTGAATGTGTAGGTGTGACCTGCAAAAAAAAAAGAAAATCATCTATTTCACGAGATAGATTCTTAGGAGAGGAATGAGTCCATCAAATATTGCAAGCAGCTCCTGCACACTGTTTAATTCACACTAGGCATGATCGTCCCCCCTGCTAAGTCTGCCGCTGGCCTGCTCTCACAGGCCAAACCAACTCTGTGCCCAGATACCTCTTGAACACACTCATAACGTTACATGATCATGAAGCGTGCTGAGTTTACAAGACATCGGGCATCTTTGCAAACAACTGAAACAAGTCTTGAATCAAAGTTTGAAATCACAACAGTCTTAGGTCTAAAGCACTCTTACGCAATTAGGATGATATTGATTCCTTTAAGGACTATATAGACCTTACCACTGTGTTTCCATGTAAGTCAGGACCACTTCAGAGAGAATTAGAGTGGGGGCGTCCCAGTCCAACCCAGCTGCACCTAAAGCCTCCTCCACCTGGGACTCTTCTCTCACATCCACCCCCAGCAGTCTGTACTGACCGCTCAGCACATACACAGGCCCTAAAGACACACGGGTGAAGGTAAATAAACAAAATCAGGAGTGATTTTTTTGGAGTGAATAAAGCGTGCTGTGTATTTTAATTATCAAGTTAAGTTACAAACCTTCAGGAGAAGGTAAACGGGAGTCTAACGTCGCCCTCAGTGTCACATCAGACGTGATCAGAGCCGTCTTTCTCCGAGCTACGTCCGGAAAATCCACCTCAAACACGACGGCCCTGTCGAGAGCTCCGTCTGCACGCAGGCGGAAGTATAAAGAGTCGAATCCTGCACCCAGAGACAAGATCTAGAAAAAACAGAAGAAGCGGTATCTTAAATATAGAAACTTCACAATGCAAACTTGACATGAAGATTTGTGTAATAGAAAATATAAACATGCCTGTCTCGTGGGGCAGGTTTCAGTGACGTGCAGAAACGTCCTCACACAGTGGTCAACAGCTCTCCAGCGCACATAGTAGCCCCTGAAACAGTGAACTAGTACGCTTCAGACATTCCCTTCTGCAACACGTCGTATCCCATTATGGCATCCACGTGATGTGTGTATTACTAACCCCACCCTATTCCACAAATCTAACTACAATAAAATTAAAGAGAAAAAGTTGTCGTTACTTTTTGTCTTTGACACAAACACACTGACTGACACACAGATTATCTTTACAGTTTGTCTCGTCAGTTTGTATTTGGATGATCTGACCTAAACTAGAGAAACAAATCAGCGTTAAAAACTGTTTCAAACTGAACTGAAAACAAAAACCTCCTCATGATCCTTTCTTTAGTGGTGATGAAATAAAACAAAGGCTGAATCCTGCATATGCATTCTGTGTGTTTCATTAAATGCCTCTGACGCTGCTCATCGAGTCTGTTGCACAGATGAACATGACGCGATGTAAACTCTGCTGACCTGTTGATGAGCGGGGCTCTTCTGGCCACTTTGCACACAAAGTGTCGGAGGAAATCATCGTGGAAGTAACCCTGCGCCGCCGCGGACACCTTGCTCACAACGCTGCTGTCGTTCGTCCCCTGAACCTGAGACAAAGAACAACACGGAGACACAAGACTGTAAATGTGAGTTCGAATCTACCTGATTGTGAATATACAACACAGTTTTGAGAGTAGTTTGAAGTATTTTTTTTTTAAAGGAAATACTCAAGAACTTCAACTCAAGTAACAGAAATCATTTGAATAAGCAACGTTCACTTGTATTAGAGTCATATTTGAACAGGAGGACACGACTATGGGCGTTTACAAAGCCTCAAGAAACTCTCTTTAAGTTCAAAGTTGTAGCCCTTAATACTTCTTGTTGCTTTTTTTCATTTGTAACTCATCCCTCATGGTTTGTCATTTCTCTCCATCATTTTGTTGTATTGCTGAACAATGATTGATAAATAAAGATAGACTTAAAAAAAAAAAGAAGACAAAAACAAAGACTGACAGGAGTCATATTTGACCGCTTGATGCAGAAATAGGCAGGTATTCTAAGTTTTCTTCTTCCTGCTCCTGTTTGTTCATGGACAGTGTATAAACATCATGAGAAAATATTTTTAATGATGTGTAATATTGTGTTGAAATCAGAGTCTTTTTACAGGGCTTTGGTTGGAATCATACTTTATCCACTCTGCTAATGAAGACATGTATCAGAAACTTTGTATTTCTGTAAATGCCGAGATAAAGGAATTTTTTCCAAGGCTGTCGCACGCTTTCTTGTAGTTTAATATAAAACAATGCTTCATATTTTGAATGGTTAGCTTGTTTTTTTTTTTTATGAAAAACTCCAATTTTAGAGCTAAACTAGGAATAATGACGAATACTGTGGGAATATTCAACTAAAGATACAAGAAGAACAAATCATTATTCAGTTCAGACACTAATTTAGGAGAGTATATTAATCAGGTTTATTGCTTAAGTTAATAAAAGTCAGACTTTACCGCGGTGTCCTTCGCCTGCTTTTGCTTCTTCCTGTTTGTGGTTGGCATGACGAAAGCTGTCACATTTTAACACATTTATAAAACATAAAATAAAAGTTTACAGGTTAATTTTAGGGCACAGCGTGCGATTCATCGATGTAAACAATTCAAACCTCCTTCGTGTGGTGAAGACGACTTCCGGCTACATGCCAAGCGGCGTCCCGCAGCGCCCCCGTCCGGCCTGGAGGAGGACTTCTTCCTTCGTTTATCGTGAACAGCGTTGAGGCGCGTCATCGCCCCCTCCTGGACAAACGCAAGAACGGAAATTAGATACTGGTTGAACAAAAATAAAAATAAAACATTAATTTTTTTTAACAACTTCAGCCCCGCTCAAAACTACCAAACATTTAATCATTTTGAGGATATATTAATAAAAAAATATAGCATTATGTAATCAAACAAGCATTTAAACGGGTTAAAATCCTCGAAAATGATTGAATGTTTGGTAGTTTTGAGCAGGACTGATACAAAAAGCAGATATCAATATTAATCTGTACTATTTTACAGCAGTTTATTTGATGTGGACATTTGTATCCTTAATGACTTCAGAGGGTAGTAAATTAAACTGATGAAGGTAAAAAAATAAAATAAACTGTCACTGAAGCGACCGTAGGTGAATGCGGTTCTTCGTTTGACAATGCGGCACTCACAGCGCATGCGCAGATTTCCAGGAAGTGTTAACCAGCTGATAGCCAAATTGTCAACAGTTAAGCCTGCGATACCTTCGCCGCTAAAGGACAGCAAACACGGTAAATATCTATAATTTTAGCCCCCTCTTGGTTTTCTTACGTTATTTAGATGAACACTGAGTATGTTTGGGTTCAATAAGGCGTCGAAATTTAGAGCTTTGATTCAGTTTCGTCTCGTCCGACCTGAGTGCTCGCAGCGGTGTCCCGTTAGCACACACACAACGCAAGGTAAGAGCTGCTGATCTGATAACGTTTACAGCAAGAGGAGATTTTTTAATAATGACAGAAGAGAACGACAGCTGCACCCTGACACGACTCCTCATCACACAAGGACGTGAAAGCTTTTGAGTCATGTGTGAGACTGCTGCTGCTGCAGTGCTGGATGATCAGCTGTGTTGTTCATGAGGAGCAGGAGAGGCGCAGCATCCCTGCACAAGCTCGAGTTTCAGTGCAGAATAATGGGACACAGTTTGCAATCGATGATGTTTTCAAACGCGGCACTGATTCAGCGAACCAAGGAGATAAAGAGGGCCTGCATATTTACAGTGCTTACTTCTCTCTTATTGCTTTTCCTTGGTTTGATGCCAAGGAAGTCTCCACCCTTCCTCATAAAACACAATCTTGAGAGTCAATTCGGATGCACTGGAAGAGGGGAAGAGGGGGTTTGTTGCCTTCAGAAATGAAGATAAAGCTAATTCATGTGAGGCAGATGCAATTAGTGTCGTCACGATATCAGGATTTTAGACTTTCAGATTGTAGTAAAACGACATGGCTACCTGTTTCCATATCATAGCAGCATAAATAGAAGTTTAAAACTCCCAGCACTGGGTGAACTTCTTGTTTACAGTCGTCACAAATTGCAAGCGAACTCCTCTTAATTGCACAATGATTCGGTAGGCTGTGAAACTGAATTATATTCCTTCTGGGATTAATAAAGTTGTCTGAATCTGAAATATGTTGGCAGCATATTTCTGCACTTGGGAAAGAAAGAAAAGAGTTTGAACACAAATCATTTTGGAGGCCTGTGATGATGATGATGATGATGAGGAGGAGGAGGAGAACCTCAGCCACAGCAACAAGAAACAGAAGTTACGGATTGAGATGCTAGGGTCTTGGGTTGGGAACCAGAGGGTCGCCGGTTCAAGTCCCGGTGTGGTTGTTAAAATATGGAAGCTGGTCTGGTAGCTGGAGAGGTGCCAGGGCACTTCTAGAGTACTGCCCGAGGTGCCCTTGAGCAAAGCACCGAACCCCCAACTGCTCCACTAATGCATGTCCACAGGTCCTGTTGGTGCATGTGTGTGTGTGTGAGAAGCATGTCTCTCAAGTGAGTGTAAACCAGAATTTATTTCCCCTCAGGGATTAATAAAGTTTGTACAAAAAGACTCACAAAATTGAGGGATTTCTTGTTAATAAACAAAAGTATTGGGTAACTGCTGCACTCTGTCTAAACTGTACAAATACTCTGGCAGCGTTTTGGTATCCAAACATTGCCAATGAATGGATTTGTACAATTTAGATAGTGCGCTCTCTCTCTATGAAACATTTATCCAAGAGTATCAAAGTCTCACAATCTCTCAACATAATCGCGCGCGTCCTTAACGCTTTAAAATGAAACGAAACCTGCAGCCCTCATTGGAAGAGGCTCTTTGTATCCTGAGAAGGCGAGAACAGCATTAGTGCGTGGTGTGACCCTGCGCCTAAACAACATGTCACTTCTTCCTTCAGACCAAACGAGGAGTGCAGAGAAGTCAAGACACCGCCTGCCTGCACGACGTGACACCACGACCTGTTAGAAAGTCAGTGTCAGTGCTCTGTTGCCGGGAGGAGGCCCAGCCCCCCTGCCGTCTCCTACAGCGGGCCGCTATGAGCTCCAGAGGGAGTGGAGGCCGCTCCAACGGCACACTACCCCAGACCAAGATCTGCCAGTTCAAGCTGGTGCTGCTGGGTGACATGGCTGTGGGCAAGTCCAGCCTGGTGCTGCGGTTTGTCAAGGGACAGTTTGACGAGTTCCAGGAGACGACTATCGGAGGTGAGGAGGAGGAGGAGGAGGAGGAGGAGGAGGATGTGGACCGTGTGTGTGTGTGTGTGTGAACGGGAACAAGGCAGAGAAGGTAGACGCTAACGTGTGATTTCTCTGCTTTTAAAATCCAGCTGCTTTCCTGGCTCAGTCGGTGTGTCTGGACGACACCACAGTGAAGTTTGAGATCTGGGACACTGCGGGACAGGAGCGATACCACAGCCTGGCCCCCATGTACTACCGCGGTGCTCAGGCTGCCATCGTTGTCTTTGACATCACCAAGCCGGTAAAGATTGTTTGTCAGACGTTCAGGGTTTATTTCATTCATTTTATGCAGAAGAAACTTAAACAATTCAACCAAAAGAGATATTTAGGCCGGTGTCTGCATCCCAATATGAGACTAGAAACATCCTGGACAATACTTTACTAATAACCTGATAAACATGGGGTCAAAGAAGGATTGATGCTTATTTTACAGAGAACATTTGTGATGTTGGGGCTGATCAAATGAATAAGACCTTTCTGATTTTTCTGAAAGCTGCACAGAGGGCTGATTTCAGAAACTAATAATGATCAGGGCTAACTTAAGATGTCATATTTATGCTCATCATCCACCATCTCTGTCATGTGTCGGAGGTTTTTATGTAAGTATGCGTTGGTGGTCGACTCACCTTGTCGCTTTGTTTCTTCAGGAGACGTTCGAGCGAGCCAAGGCCTGGGTGAAGGAGCTGCAGCGACAGGCCAGTCCTAACATTGTTATCGCTCTGGCTGGAAACAAGGCTGACCTGGCAGAGAGGAGACTAGTAGAGTACGAGGTAACGCACTGCTTCACACTAGGCCCAGTCATCCTGTCCCCCTTTTTACACTTTAGACTGTGCAGGAGTTAGTCTGCAATATTTGATAATTGAAAACAAGAAATGACCCGATGTTGGTTCTCCGGGACGTATATTTTTGATGTCGATATCGTTAGATTTTTACTTTTATCGTGTTGAAGTTTTAAACTCTGGTATCGTGTGAACACTTGTAGTAAAAAAAAAAAAACCTTTTTGATATCCGTATCTTGGCATTTGAAAACAAACTTTCCACACTTATTAGGCTTTTAAGTCCTCGTTGTGCAATTTGGTATCCAGGCTTGGACTCTAAACACTTCAGAGCTCAGATATTTAAGGGTCTGTTTTCTGTAAGTAAGAAACATTAGAACATTTCTCAGCTGTAGGTTTCTTGTGATGTTTGTTTTTCTCTCTTTTCCGGTCATGTTATATTTGTGTTTTTCTGCGTCCAGGAAGCACAGACGTACACTGAAGACACCGGCCTGCTCTTTATGGAGACGTCCGCAAAGACCGCCATGAACGTCAACGAGCTCTTCCTGGCCATTGGTGAGTCAATACTCAACCTTTCTTTAAGAAGGCGAGGAGATGTGGGATGACTTTTGGGTCTGAGGTGTTTGTAGGTCGAACGCTTCCTCACAGACTTATTGATTAGGTAACATGCAGATAGCGACTGATGGCTATGATAAACACCAAACTGTATGTCTGACAACTACAGAGTTTCCAGTTAATGACGACCTCACTGTGACCTTTTGAAGCACACCTCAGGTTGCCAATTAGGACCTTCCATTAGTTGTTCCTAGCCTATAGCAGCCAATGAGAGCCTGAGTTGAAAGGTGTCTGCCCCTGTTCTGTTCCGGCCAAGTGCACACGATGACTGACATTCACACACTAAGGAGATAGATCAGAAGTACGATATATTTCCTCCCACAGTCCAAAGACATGCTCGTTAGGTTAACTGGTGACTCTAAATTGTCCGTAGGTGTGAATGTGAGTGTGACTGCTTGTCTGTTTCTAAATGTCAGCCCTGTGATTGACAGGTGAACAGTCCAGCGTGTAACCCCGCCTCTCACCCAATGACAGCTGGGATCAGCTCCAGCCCACTGCGACCCCGAACAGAAAGCGGTTTAGATCCTGGATGGATCTGCAGTTAATTTCTTACACTTTTTTTTTTTTCTCAATGCAGCAAAAAAGATGCCAAAAACAGACACCCAGAACCCGACACACGCAGCGCGACATCGGGGAGTCAACCTCCAGGACCCAGACGCCCACTCCACCCGAGCCTGCTGCGGAGGGAACTAGACCTCCACCACTCGCACCACAATCCCGCCATCTGCACAACCACCCAGCAGCCCTTCAAACATCCCGTCTCCTTCAAACCGACTCACAGAGGCAGGACCTGATACTGGGACATCCGGTATCGACTCCCCCCCCCTCCACCCTCACCTCACCTCACCATCCATTCATCGTGCTGTCCAAGCAGACGGAGTCAGAGACAGAAATTCAAAGGAAAGAAGAAGAGAAAGGCGCAGATGAGTTTAACGCCTGTCTCTCTTGACCGACTGAGAGTCTTTGTTTGGCATGAGAGGAGTAGCGAACACCGAGATGGAGAGGAGGGAACTTAAGACTGTGAAAAGAGAGAGCCTGTTGTAGTATTTAGCACTAAATGTGTAATTTCTTTGTCTTCATTCTGCCTTGCATTGTTTCAGTCAGAGCACTGACAGCGTTAAGAAAAATGCACAAAACAAGCAGCACATGTTAGGAAGAGGCTGAGAAAAGAAAGCAGGAAAAAAAAAACAGTGGGGATATGAAGAAACAGTTTGGGTTTGCCTGCTTTTTTGTTTCTTCTTCAGAGCTTGCGTGCGCTTGCTTTGCCTCCTCCTCCTCCTCGTCCTCAATCAATCACAACCTGCTGTGAATACCGCCACATGTTGACCCCTGGAATGATCCCATAATAAGTCATAATTTATATTAATATCCCCCCCCCCCCCCACCCCCATGTCACTGTCCAGACTCACATTTCAGTAACACTCATGGTTTCCCCCATCACAAGTCCATTTGTACGTATTTATTCTCCGCTGTTTTGACCCCTCATGACTGCTGGTAGTGACACTCCGGTGTCTTCTTAAAGGCACACACACATTTTCTGTTCAGATAGAAATCACCCAGAACTTCCACCAGATGCGTGTCAGCTCCGCACCGGTACGGCTCCGTCATCCGTCAACACCCACAGGCTGCGTTCCCAGAAGGCAGCGAGATTGAGGAGTTCCGATTATACGACGCATGTGGTCTAAAACCCGTTTAACCACATCGACAAACACGCACAAGGTCGTCGTGCTGAACCGTCAAAACAGAGAGTTTTATTCTGAAAATAAACCGGTGTCTGACTTCCTGTCCCGCTCGATCTTCTCTGTAGTAAATCGATGCGTCGTGCTCCGGCATCTGGCAAAAAAACAGAAACCTTGCGTATCTGCTGCCAGAGCTGAGATGCAGCGCGGCGAGTGGAAGCACACACATTGAGAAAAGTGGAAAACTATCAAACTAACAGTTCGGTTGCCGTGGAGGAGCGGAGACGGAGCGAACACACATCTGGTGGAATCTGAAATTTGTTTTGGATGATTTGACGTTTTGTTTCTCACGCGTTTGGTCCATCGGACTTGCTCGTTTAATGAAGGATTGTTTGGGTTTTATTGCCTTGCTTGAATGCTCATAAGCACCACTTACTATTCTGTATAGAGCAACAACATAGACTTGATATTGAGTGTGTGTGTGTGTGTGTGTGTGTGGGTGTGGGTGTGGGTGTGGTGTGTGTGGGTGTGTGTGTGTTCAGTGAGACTTTAAGTATTGCTTTGGTAACTGTAAACTAACTTGAGTCCACGTCTGTAGCAGAGTCCACGTCCCCTCAAACCCAGAGCGAGACGTCTTGTGTCACACACCAGATTGACTATTGAAGTACCTGCCCTCTAAAATAAGCTCAAAAAGGAATTTCAGTTTTTTTCAACCCGAGCCCTGCTTTTCACTTTTTGTCGGGTCTGAATGAGGAATTGGTTCAGAAGGTTTTGGTGTTCCTCCAGCAGATTGCGTCATTCAGCGGCCGCTTTAACGTCTGCACAGTAATCCTCGAGGGGAAACGCTCCTTAGAACTATTTAAGTTCTTGTTTTAACCACTTAAAGGTTCTTCACATTTATTTTTAGATTCTGAAACTTAACTGAAATACTTCCTACAAAGATACACGGAAAATGCTTTTTAGAAGAAATCTTTGATTAATCCCACAAGGGGAAATTACTTTTACACTCATGCCACACACACACACACACACACACCCTGTAGACACTAACAGAGAGATGTCAGAATTAGGGTGCTGAACATGAAGGAGCGCACCAGCTGTTAGGGGTTCTGCGCCTTGCTCAAGAGCATCTCAGCAGTGTTCAGAAAGTGAACTGGAACCTCTCCAGCTACCAGACCAATTTTAGATTTGGACTTCCCAAACCAAGTCCCCACATGCTCTGCTGCTGCTGCCCAAGGTACACGCATCCCATCGCTCCACCAGACCTCATTGACAAAAGCAGACATTTGACTTGCCTGCACAGCGGCCTCACTGGGTTTGTTTTTTGTCTTCTTGTTCATGAATGTCAGCGTAGATTAAACAAGATAATTATGTAAACACATCATAGCACAGAGCTCCACGTTCAAGGCAGCGGTGGGAAACTAGTTGCTTTGTTCTTTGAGGTTAAATCTCTGTTTTTGTCAATGGAGGCTGATGGATTTACACAGAACCATTTAACTACCGTTTCTGGTTTTATGAATCATCTTCCTCTTCCACAAAAAAAAAAGTCCACCTCTGTAGGGATCTTTTCTGTAATGTCTGTTGATGGCAAAAACAAGAACTTTAGGATGACGCACTTTGATTGAGCGAGTGCCGTTTCACTCTGCATTCATCACAGCCTGTTTCAGGGCTGCCTGTCGAGGCAATCTGCTGCAGCTGTTCTCAAACTTTTTGCACCTTTTTAGACCTGAAACAGTCAAACTAAGGTCGAGGTTTATTTTGATTTTTAAAAGATTACAGATGATGTAATTTGGCAGTGGATTGAATATATTTTGGTGGCTGACATCCTTGGTAACAAATGTGTAGAGAGAGAATGAAAAGCAGGAAGATAAGAACCTGTACCATGAAATGTGGGATGATTATCCTCCCGTGTCATGTTTAACGTGTCCCTCTTTGGTCCTTCAGCCGAGTTGTTTGAGAAACATGAAAGTGATTCCTTTCACTTAATTTAAAGCTCTAAAAACATATAGAGTTGTGTGTTTGGTTGCAATTAGTGAACTTGGCAGAAGAGGAGTTCAGATTTGATGAAAACACACAAAAAAACAGAAGTGCCTATTCCCCGTTTTCTTTATTTTCTTCTTCTGTGAATCGCGTTCTGGGCTTTTCTTTGAGTGTGTGCTTCGTAGGCAAACAGCTGAAATCTCATCCAATAACCCCGCACCCCGTCGTCTCTAGGCTGTCGTGAAGTGTCTTGGCTGTTTGTATGGATGTAAAGAGATCTCGTTGAATACACTGTATGTTAAATATTATTGTCTTACTTTTAATGAAGGTGTTTTGTTGATTTTAGGCCGAGCACACTTGTGAACTTGAAAATGGATCCGATCATTGAAACAACATGGACGTCTTGTGAGAATCTGTTTTTCGGGTTGGTTTGATTCTCAGATCGACACGTTTAAAAAATAAAAATAAAAAAGATGGCGATCTAATTAAGGGCGTACAAATTGGCTTTTTGAATCTGTACTCAACACTAACAGCTCATTAGCGACGTGAAACCGTTTTTCATCCTTCAGGGCTCACAAGTAGGTTCACTGTTCTGTGCAATTAAAGAGACAAAAAGGTGATTAAAACAAGACTGGAGGTTTTTTTTTTCTTCTTCCATCCGCACATTTTGTATGTGAAACGTTGAATAGAGATCAAGCATGGTCCCAGAAGTAAAAAATCTTGTTCATTTTCTCCACAGCAGATTTGATTGTTAGCCGTGATGTCATCACCATCACAGGTAGACTGACCACGAGCTACCTGAGCGTGTAATGATGGTTTATGCTCCTGAAGGAGACACAAGATCGTCTGATATAAACCTCACTGGGAAAAGAACTACATTACCCACGATCATAGTGTCACATGCACATCGCTGATTGCAGGAGCTTGCTGTCACCATGGAGATGTTTCTCACCCCTCAGCGCTAAAGGCTAATGGATAGTTTCACTAGCTAGTTAGTTAGCTAACAGCAAATGTGCTAATAACCTTGCTATGCTGCATGTGCATTAACAGTATAAACTCTGTAACAACGACTAAAGTTACATTTAAAAAGAAGAGGTATTATTTGCAATGGATTGTAGGATGTGTAGTTCCTTTACTCCGGACGAAAATTCTGTAGTCTTGTACCTTCAATCGTTTTTCGATGCCGCTTTTGGTACCAAATTAAAAGTACTATAGTCACGAGTATTCAGGTAGCTGGTTGTCATGGTTATTTTATGAAATGTCAATGGAGGACTTTAGCGAGGAAATTTGTTGAGCTCTATAGCTGTGAATGATGCTTCGAGTGCAGGATGACAGTTGATCGCTTCTCTTCTGACTTGTGCACTGGATAAGACAAACAAAGAGGTAAATAAGCAGCCATGTTTTATTGAATCCTGGAGGTGGTGGGGGGTTTGCAAACGGCTGTACAGCGATGTTTGGACTCATTCATATTTTTTTTTGTTTAAGTATTTACAGCAGATTTACCAACGCATATGTCTTGAAGTTAGAGGTACAAAAATAAAAAAAGAAACTCAGAACATCTGATCCCTAACATCTCCTTTGTTTGATTTAAAATCATATGAAACAAAGAGACAACATTTAAACTGCCTTTCTTTAGAAAATTTATCCAGAATTACATTTTCATGTCCAGTCTAACAACGCCACACCTCTCTGTGTTTTTCTTTATAAAGGCTGAAACGTAAAGGATAAACTAGTTGATCGCTTTTATCAAATTAAGTAGAATCTACCCTCTGAGTCTTTACCTCCTCGTCTCACCCGGCCCTCTAATCCTCCCCCTCCTCATCCTCCACTGCCGTATAGATGACCTGGTTCCTGCGTTTGATTCGGGGAGTCGTCCCTCTGCTGCCCGGCTCTCCACTCTCATCGCTGTTACGTTTCAGGATACGTACGGACGCAGCATCCTCTTCCTCGCCCTCGCAGCATCCCTCCCTCTCTGCTGCAGGGTGAGCGTGGGAGAGTGCAGGGGTGGAGTGGGAGGGAGGGGGGAGGTTCATGAGGTCGGGCAGAGATTTTGGGGAGAAATCCGATTTGGGTTTAGGTAGAATCAAACGACTCGGCGTGCAGGTGTCACCTGCAGCTACGTCAGGGAGCTTATCTCCCTTTATTTCTGCTTTTGAGTTACCCTCCCCTTCCTCCTCCTCCCCCTCTTCCTCCCACTCATCCTCTATCGTGATCTCATCAGGGTTAAACGAATTTGACAATCCTGAAGTGTCAGTCGGGTACTCGCTGGGCTCGTCTGCGCTCCCTACACTGCGTCTGTCTTCATCGTCGTCCTCGTCTCTTGCAGTGCTGCCCTGAACGTCCCCTCCCTGTGTGACCAGGGCGTAGAGATCTGTGAGTCCTAATGTGGCGCAGAGCTCGGTGGTCTGTGGGTTGGTGCTGCAGCTGGGCGCGGCGTGGGGTTGGGGTTTGTTAGGGTCATAGGCGGGCACAGTCCGGCTGAAGTTGTCTGGAATGGCGAGGTCACCGCTGAAGTCCTCCACAACCTGCATCATGTCAGCTTCTGAAGCTCTGAAGTCCCACCTGATGGTCAGAATAATCCGTGTTACAAAAGACAGCAAGAAGACAACCCTCACAGCTGAGTATGAAACTCTCCAATTGAAGCTTGTCTTATGGGAGATAGTTGTAGATGGTAAACTAAAGTTCAGCGCAAACTATAAACTACAGCACGATGAAGACCTCATCAGAAAAACATTACTTCAAAAAATGTGTTATGTAAATTAATTTAGAGGATTTTTACTGTTTTTGTACGGACAACATCTCAAATAGAAATAAAAATAAGAGGAGGAAATACAAAATTTTATTATAAACTAAAAGGTCCAATTAATGAGATGTGTAGTGAGTGAAATGATAAAGTGAGCTTACTATATGATCAGACATTAAAGAAACATGCTATGTTGAAGTGCTGGCTTCTCTGACAACAATGCAGCAGCCAGTATGTCCTCCTTCTAACTTTAGATTCGGGTCCTGAATGCTCTGGATTTGTTTGGACCAGAGAAGGTAGGCGGTTTTAAGGCACCCCCACACGGCCGTTTTGGACGCCCCTCAGTTTGCCAGATATGAGAGCAGTTATCAGGTCAAACCAACAGGTGTTGCAGCGATGGAAGAGGGCAAGAGAACTGGTTCAGATAGAAGTGATTGTACCCGACCTAAAAAGCCTCTGCATGTTTCTAATAAGCTCCACGAGCAGAAACATGCTCAAACTAGGATCAATATTGGAGATGCTTTTGAAAAATGGAGAGAGGTTAGAACGCAGAAAGATTTACAGACCGATGCAGAGCTGGCTAAACACTGAAGCTTCAGTGTCCACCACATGGTGACCTGCATGAGCATCGACTCTAGAGAGGAGGGGGCAGGGGGGAGACAGCTCTCTACAATGTTTAGAAATGGGACTGCAGTACCCATTTTAAACACTAGGTGTCAGAGTTATATATTACTCCTTTAAGTTTTTACAATATTCAAACATGACTACAGAACAGTATGAGCGTAGGAACCCTGCTGTGTTTGTATGTTTACATATATGTGTGTACCGGTCGTGAAGGCCATTATTCTCGGGGATATTCCAGGGGTGAGGGGTGATCCTTTGCAGACTGTTGGTGGCCTTCAGGATAGCGAGCCACTCTGGATCGTACTCAAGTCCTTCAGATGAACCCGCTCTCTCTGGCACATCCACAATCTGCAGCACAAGTGTAAGTGTGATAGTTTAGAAGTACTCACATTAAACTATATTGTGTAAATTTAACAACAAAACCTTCTCCTACCTGTAAGAACTCCCTGTAGGGCAGACATTTATCCAGGGACAGGAATTTAGTTACACGTGGCGCAGAGTTACCTTTAGGCTGAAAAGAGGAGAGTTCACACTGATTAAGAGTAATACATCGATATATCAAGTACCTAAAATGTTTAAAATCACAATCAAAAGAAATACAGCAACAAGCCTCTAACCCTCACCTGATGCTGCATAACAGCAGCAAATTTGACGTGCAGATGTGCAGAGAACCAATAGCTGGGCTGGAGGTGAGCCAGGAGCTCCTCAGCAGCGGGACTCCCCAGAGTGTTGGACTCCACTTCCTGTCGCAGGAACTTCTTCTTTCGCAACAGCTCCCCTGTACTCCCATAGTGGTAGATTCCACGAGGCCAGTCATGGCTCATGACAATGTCTATGGGCATCTGGATCTTTGTGGAAATTATATTTAAGAATGAAAACAGTCTTCAAAACAAATGTTTTGAAGGTGGGTTAAAGAGAGCAGGATTACTCTGTGATATTTACCTGCTTTAATTTGAACACCTCAATATTTCGGATGTGGTAAACGCTTCGGAGTGTATCGGGATTGTAAGGAGGACATTCATGGTGACCTTAAAGATCACAGATTTCAGGTAAACATACTGAGAGTTTGTTCAAATTGTTAAAACTCTTTCGACGTCACAAAATCTCACCTTTTCTGAAGTCGTGTGATTTAAAGATTCCAGATAAGCCACCGATTCTAACCCCCCTGTAACGAACAACGCCAGCGTAACCTGGGGGAATAGGGCAGAGTCAGAACTTGGTATCAAGAGAGAGACAGGTGGAGAGAATAATTACTTCTATTGTCTGCTGGTCCCTACCCAGATAATAAATATTGGGGGCCACCCAGCCTCCATAAGGCAGCTCCTGCAGGTGGTTGGAGGCCTCATGGTTCCCTCCTATGAAGATGGTCAGGACTGGAGCCTTCTTTTCTCCTGAATAGTATCTGCAAAAGAAATACAGCAACATGTAAGTTTTCAAATGCTCCCACCTATTATGATGCACCGAATTTACATGAATAAACAAAGAACTGACTTGTAAAATGTCTGCATTGTTCTGTACTTGGCCGGTACTGCCATGCACTTCATGTCTCCTTCATTTCGAACTGCCTGGAAGTCTCCACAGCAGAGCAGAAGGTCCACTTTTACACCTTCCTTCTTCTCCAGATAGCCGATTGTCTCATAGATCTTGTCCAGCTCCCCATGACAACAACCTTCCACTGCAATCTTCATGCTGCACAATCAGGTAAGCTGAGGATTCATGGAGAAAATCACAGTCAGGGCTGGTGTACAATGCTACTCTTTCAATACAAAAACATGTGTCATAACTGAGAGTGGGACAACATATTGTATTGTACGGCTGTGTGTCACCACTTCATGACTCCGCATCAAGGTGCTTGTGACAAGAAGGAGAGTAACATTAACGGCAGTTATGTCGGATTCCTGTGTGTGAGAGCACACCAGGCTGATCCTAACGCAAACATTTCAACACTTGGATGCTTTTTCGATACCACATGTTTTAAAATGGAACAATCTCTGTTATTTTAATTATCGATACCATCAAAATGTACTGACGCTTCTCGGTCATATGTTTATGGTGGCACTGAAAGGTCAAACTGTTAAAAAAAACATTCAAATTAACGCAGAATCATTTCACAAAACACAAAAAAAAACATTTCATGACATTCATTACGTATAATTGTTTCAACCCAACCCATGGATATACACCCCCACCCAAAAGACAACCTGACTCGGAGAGGGGTTTCCATAGTTACAAAGGCATCATCTAAACCCTGTGTATACATATATCATTATACATCATCCATATGTTATTGTTAAACAACAGATGTCCAGAAGGAAAATGTCCATAAATAAAACATAACCACTGAAACCTGTTAATGCAACCTGAAGCATGGTCAATGATTATGTTTTGCTCTAAGTTAAATGTTTATTCGTGTCTCATTAAATATTTTCGCAGTTGACCTTCAAGGCCACCGTAAACATTTTAACAAAAGTTGCCTCGAGATAAAGTACAGTTTCCAAAGTATTTGTGCAATTCTGACAATATTTAACAATTATAACAAAGAAATAAACCGATATTGGGTGCCTAGAACTTTTAATTTTTAATTACCGCGGTATATTAACATGTATCATTATCGTTTGGTTATTACTAGTATCATATCAAAGTAATAATAACAGAACATGCTAACTGGGCTAACTAGCTATCCTACGTTACGTGTTAAAGCGAACTCTAAACCTCATTTCAAATACATGATCTAGGCAACTTACGGAGACGAATGAGTAAAATGAGAGTCTAGTGTCTAGTTTCCCACCCTCGTTTTGTTACAAAAGTGCTCTGAAATGCATGTTTGAGTCTCAAGCTAGCACATGAACCACAGAATGAATTTTCCCACCTCGCGTCTGGCTGTTCAAGCGCATGCGCAGAATGTTACCAAGCCTATTTTTGGATCATGAGCGGCAGATTCCAAACATTTTATTAAGAGAGTTTTTTTTTTTTTTTAACGTGAGGATGTTTTTTTTTTTTTTTTTTTAAAATAATAAAGCATAATAATATCTGTTTCTTTGTCTGTACTTTATCGTATATTTGTGCATTCATTACGTGGTTCCCTGTGGATTAAAATGTTTGTATCGAATCTGACTCAGCGAAACATCACCTACGTCACGTTTATAAACAAAATTTACCTCATTGACAAATCCACTGTCTGACAGCCTGCTCACCAAGTTAGCGGTGTTGTGTTTTTGTTACTGCTGCGCCCACATAGGAGCTTTAATAACTGTTTTTTTTTTTAATTCTTACGCTTCCTCGGAGCTGCGTGATTTAAGCCGCAGTTACTTTTTTTAAAAGCCGCTCACAGCTGCTCTGGGGGGGGCGGAGTGTCTGCAAAGTGCTGCGCCGATTGGGGCGCTCAATCCGGGGGACAAGAGATGGCGTGCTTGCTGGAGGCCCCTCTCCGCATCAGTGTGCTGTCTGTGAGTGTCCCTCTCATGGTTTCAAGTGGCATTATCACACGTACAATGTGCCCGATCCGAAAGCGATTGGTTTACATCGTTTGATCAGTCATGTGTAGAAGCTGCAGAGGGGCTTATGTCCTCTGTTAGCCCGGCGAGCTAACATTGTAGCGCTGTAGCTGTGGATGAGATCGTTTTTATATCCCGGCGTCGTCCGGGCGGGCGGGGACGTTCTGAACACGCGATTAATTCCCTCCGCCCGCCCCGTCGGTGTGTTCATAAAACAGAATCAAACCACCGAGGTACCTGTCAGTGTCACTCGGTATGAGTTAGCAGCTAAATGCTAAAAAGTGTGAGTTCTGTCCCCGTTTACAAGATAGCAACGCATGTGAAAGACACTGCGCCGTCCTGGAAAAGCATTTGAGCGCTATTATAAGCATGCTGATTGCAGCAGCAAAGTTTACCTTGGTAATATAGATAGAGTTATGCGTTTCATTTACGTTAGCCTACCACTAGCATTCGTGATAAGCTAGCGAAGCTAAAGTAACTCATTGATACTAAATCTAAAATCTTAAATTACATTTTTTTTCAACCATAATGAATGAAAAAAAACAAAAAACTAATGTTGAATACTTTATTAATTTTTCCGTATTTTTATATTCATAGAGTAAATTATTTAAAATACAATTTATAAAAAAAAAAAGATCTAGAAATACGAGAAGAATCCACTTAGCCTCTTTATTAATACATTTATATATTCTTTATTTATTTCTTGTATTTTTACTGTTGTTATTTTTGTGTTTTGTGCTTCTTTCTCTCAGAGCCTGATTCAAATCAAATATCTTATGTTCTTTTACATTTTCTACTTCAATTAAGGAGAGAAAAAGGTAGAAGTCCTTGGTAGCTAATGATGAGGATATTTATTGTTTACAGTCATTTAAAAATGCAGGAAAAGTCTTTAAATTCAGTAAGCTTTGTTGGCAGGAATGAGAGAATTTTCATTTTGAATAAAACAGCATAAACAATTACTGAACAATATTGACACCTTAGAATAATTAGGAGAAGCCCCTTAGCCTCTTTGCTTTTATTTATTAATTCATTGATATCATTATTGTGTTTTGTGCTCCGTTCTCTGAGAGCCTGAAATATCATGTATTGTTTAACATTTTCTACGTCAATAGAGGAGAGAAAAATAATAATTGCTAAATTCAGGGTTCTCACAATATCAGCATTACATTAAAATTAAATTATGTTTATTACATGTGAACAAAATCAGACATTATTTTGATTAATATTGAGATCACAGTTATTACTTATTTATTATGTTAAGCACTTTGAGATGTACCATCCCACTTTCACGGGGGTCCCAACCAAAGACAATTTACATGACTGAATTAAAAAAGAATAGAACAGAATAAAACAAAGACAAAATGTCTGGTAGACTTGAGGTTAATGAGCGTGCCCCATGTACAGAGGCTGTAGTCCTCAAAGCGGGCGCCTGGGTTGAAATCTGATCGGTGGCTCCTTTCCTGCATGTCACTTTCCTCTCTCTCTTTTCTCTTCCTCAATTTTGACTCTATCCGCTGTCCTGTCTCTACACTAAAAGCCCAAATATAAATCTTATCAAAAAATGTCTTGAAGTCAGACATTTGAAGCAAAATGAAAGCTCAGTCTTCTTTTTGTATTTATATTTCTGTCCAGCACCCAGTGCTCAACTATGAATGTGCGTGCTGTTTTGAAATCTTGGTATAAAAAGATACAATCTCTCTTATTTTGATGATCAATAGTATCAAAAAGTACAAACGCTTCAGAAAAACTTCATTCATTTCATAAGACAGGTGCATAGAAAACGAATGAATGCATCAAAAATGGCACGCTAACTCCTGCACACCGTGTTAGCTGCACAGCCGTACCAAAACCTTTCCAATGTCTTTGTTCAATTTTGACCGTGTGCAGGAGATAGCGGTCAACTTTTGATGATCCAAAACAAGAAACGACCAGAGATTTGAGACATAGAACTTCTCATCTGTAGTGGTTTGATGTTTTCTAGTATCATATTGAAGCTTGATATTCTAGTTTCATGAAACTTTGTTCTGGTCAGATAGAAACGACACATATTTGAAAGGACAGGTGTGTGTGCAGGTACACACAGAATGTGCTGAACACCTTGTCAGCAGTGTGTCGATACCAGAAACAGTAGCAGCATGACCCCCCCCCCACACACACACACACACACACACACACACACACACACACACACACACACACACACACACACTCCTGGAATCACGTGGAAAGTTGTAGCTGAAGCTATATCTGTGATATAAACAAAGTTGCCGGGTGTCACATGTAACCCCTGGGTGCCAATGACAGCTTTTAAAGGGCCCTGCTGCGGGTGCTGCTGTATGTGTCTGTACACATGGCTCTTAACGTCTAGGAACGAAAAGAGCCATCCACTGTGGGCGAATTTCTCAAAAAACCTGATGTTTAAAATGCATTTTTTCCCGTTGCTCTGTGAACACAAGTCTTTGCTTGTTTGTTAAGAAATGGCCCTGATCGATAATGCACAGAAAACTCTCTGACAGGCTCTCTCACTCTGATTCCCGGCTTTGTTCTCTCATTCACTCTAAATTAAAGCGGGTTATTAAGGAGGTGAAAGTCTAATGTGTGTCTCTTCATTCAGAGTGTGTCTTTGCTCTCCAGCTTGTCGAGGTTCTGTCGGTCTTGCTGGAAAATGTATGTCACTGAATTGTCACTAATCATTCTTTTTTTTTTCTCTGTCCTCATGCAGGAAGTCACTGCCACTAGTCGCCATTATGTCGACAGACTGTTTGACCCCGACCCACAGAAGGTGCTGCAGGGCGTCATGTAAGTCTGTCAGCTCCTGCTGTACTGTGTGTGTTGTGTTCTCTTTTTGTTAAGGCGGAGAGAGACGATGCAGAGTTAGACTGAATCATTTCGCAGCAGATGACGGCTTGTCCCGTCAGGATTACAGATTGTAAGGTTGGTGCTCCTGCTAGTCCAGAAGTCAGCTTCCTGCAGGGGTGTGAACTTTATTCAGCCGCTGTGATTCAGCACAGTCGGCGGCTTTACTCGACGTTTTCTTTCTTCTCTTGATTAATGCAGTTTCTGTGCTGAAGTGTCAGAACTCTTACAGCTGTTGTTGCTGGATTTTCTTTTGCAATTATTTGAATACATTTGCAAATCAAAGTCTTATTTTGAATTTCACACCTAGAATATATTCAGTATATAAACACTGTCTATGTTGATCTCTGTGTTTACATGCTCAGGCTTTCATGTGACGCTCTATTTCAAAATGTGTTTCACTCCTCGGTGTGACTTAATATCTCTCTCTCACTCTAATTCTCACCTCGTGTCTCACCGTTGTGACCTGGACTCAGACTATTTCATCGTTATTTTTAACTTCGGTGGAGTCTAGCTCTGGTTACGGCTCGTACCGCTCCACCTGACTCACTTGACTGCCTGCTCCAGCTGTACTTTTCCACTAGCCTCACTCACCTGCCATTCGATATCAGCCGGGGCAGTTTCAGAGCAGAGGAAACACTGCATTCAAAAACAAAATGAGTGAATGCAAATGAACAGGCTCATTCACGTCTTATAGCTGCTTGATGTAAATCTTCTCTGCCTGCCTGGTGTCTCTATAACTTCTAGTCCAGCCTCTGCTGTGCTGCAGAGTGCCCCTCATTCTGCAAAAAAAGCCTGATAACAGTTTGATAAAGTTTATCAAAAGAGAACATTGAGTGAAATGCATCTGTAAAGAAACATAACGTGCCTTTATTTAATCTGTGTTGTTGCAGAAGTTTAGAAACATAACTCCTGACTTTACAGCCTGCAGCGTATCATATCGGTTTATAGTTGTTGTTTGCTTTATGCTGCTCATTGCTCAACAGGTCAAACTGTTCTTTCATCTTCACTAACATCACCTCTCCTTCACTTGTGTGTATGTGTTTCTTTTTTAAGTGCTAAGCTGTTACACGACTGTCTCAAGTTGTGTCAGAATGACGTCATATTTCACTTCTTCCGTTATCTTCTTCATTTGTCAGCGCTGCCTCAGATGAGTGTTCCTAATTGGTGTGTTTTTGTCTCACTTCAGTGACATGAAGAACGCCGTCATAGGAAACAACAAGCAGAAGGCCAATCTGATCGTCCTCGGAGCTGTGCCAAGGTTTGTCCCCGCACTAATGTAAAGCCTCACTTCTTCTACCAAAGTTCACATCCTACCATTTTAAAGGGGACATATTATGAAAAATACACTTTGTGTTTTTGAACATATAATTGTGTAACCTGAGTTTCTACTGACCCACAAAATGTGAAAAAAACCCATCCAGTCCTTTGTTTGTGGTCTGCATAAGTCTTACAACACAGAGAAAAATGCTCCGTTTCAAATTTGCTCTCCTTGTGACATCACAGTGGGATT